CAACAACAACAACAATAATAATAATAATAATAATAATAATAATAATAATAATAATAATAATAATAATAATAATAATAATAATAATTAACACATGCGTAATAAGCCATCTTAGACATGTCAGTAGAGAGAGAGAGAGAGAAGTCATTTCCGGAATTGCGTCAGTTGTCGTCCAATTTTAGTGGCCGCAACTGACCAATCAGGAGGAAGCACTGCAACCTAACTACCGTATTATGGGAGAGCCACCTTAACAGTCCACCTCCAGCCTGTGCTCTAACCTAACCTAACCTAATTTAACCTAACCTAACCCAAAGAACACCTTACCAGTTCCCCATTCCTCTCTTCCTCTTCCTTCTCTCCTTCTTCTCCCATCTCTCCTTCTTCCTTCTTCTACCCCTCTCCATCATCTTCCATCTTCCCATCTTTTTCCTTCTCTCCCTCTCCCTCCTCCTCCTCCCTCCTGAACTTCGTAAAAAAAAAAAAAAAACCTTTGTAAATCTGGATTCATGCAGGAACCGTTTTTGTAAATGTCAACAATTGTCACGACACCCACCAGACTGCACACCACCACGTAAGGCTAGGCTAGGTTAGGTATGGTTAGGTTAGGTTAGTGTTTGGTTAGGTTAGCGTTAGATTAGGTTAGGTGAGCATTGAGGTGATTAAACGTAAGGTGAAATAAGCTAGGGGGTAGCTTAAGTGAGTTACCTAGATACGTTCACACATCTCAAGGTAACGATAAAAAATTACCTTGCGATTAATTAAAGGTAACGAGAAAAATTACCTTACGATTAATTAAAGGTAACGAGAAAAATTACCTTACGATTAATTAAAAAACCTGTATTCATGTACCTGTTAAATTGGTTAAATATATGTACTGTTAAGGGTTAATTTGACATAAGAATCATGGGAAATTAATAAAAAAAAACACCGTTGTATTTTCAGGTAAGAGATCAATTTGATGACAGGTCCCGTTCAGGTATGCTACACACACACACACACACACACACACACACACACACACACACACACACACACACACACACACACACACACACACACACACACACACACACACGGTAAAATGACCTGGCACCGGTAACATGACCCTCTTCAAACGCAGTGCTTGTGAATGCCTAAGTGACTGTGTTTGTTTGTATGTTAGAGATCTACTACTACTACTACTACTACTGCAGCCTACTCCAATAGCCACACCTTTGGCACTACTATTACTACTACAACTACTATACTACTACAACTACTACTACTACTACTGATAATAATAATAGTAACAATAATAATAATTACACATACACATAAAACAATGCAACAAAACATACCCACACACACAAACACCCTCCCACACCCCCCACACACACCCAAATACCCCCCACACAAACATCCCCACAAACATCCCACACACACACTCAAACACTCCCCCACACAACACACCCCCTCCCCCCCACACACCCACCTTAGGTTATAAAACTCCGAAGATTTACACAGCAGAAAAAAAAATTAAAGCTGAAACAGAAAAAAAAACAGGAAAAGAAAGATTATATACAAAAAAACATAAAAACGAGAAAAAATACAGTAAAAAAAAACACACACACATAAATCCTGAAAAACCCTAAAGATGTGTTGAGAAAAATCACTTTGTCTATTGAGAATAAACTGTATACCTGTCGGGTTTACCTGTCGGGTTAACCTGGCGGAAGAAGAAGGGGGAGGAAGAGGAGGAAGGAAGAAAAGGGAGAGGGGAAGATAGAAAGTAAGATGAGAAGGGAGAAGGTGGGAAAGAGAAGAGGGAGAAGAAGAGAGATGGGGCGTGAAAAGCAAGAGAAATGGAAGAAGAAGAAGAAGAAGAAGGAAGCAAGGAAGGAAAGAACAAGAAAGAAGGAAAAGAGGAAAGCAGAGAAAAACATAAAAATAAGTAGAATAATAAGAGAGAGAGAGAGAGAGAGAGAGAGAGAGAGAGATCATCTTGCATTGAAAGTATACTATAGAATGGTAAAGGTTGAGAGGTGACCCTGGAGTGTGGCTGTGACCTGCTTCATTAACCTGTACTCACCTGTCTCACTCCTACAGCAACTACTACCACCACCACTAGCACTAAGTTAGGTTAGATTAGGTTGGATTAGGTTAGGTTAGGTTAGGTTAGGTTAGGTTAGATTAAGTCAAGTCATCTTTGGTTAAAACAGATTAAAATTACACTGGTTAATACTTAAGTAAACCAACCAGCAACACTAATAAGAAACACACACACACACACACACATATATATATACACACACACAACACACTAAGGACACCACCGTTACCCTGGCGGCATAACAGAGTCCTCATAGGATAGATGTAACACTAGGAACCCTCAGGATAATGCGGGTATATCCTCAAGGACTGTGCGGTTTACCTCCTTCCCTCCCTCCCTCCTTCCCTCCCTCCCTCCCTCTCCCCTTCCCTTCCTCTCTCCTTCCCTCCATCCACCTGTTTGGTTACCATTCACACCTGTGTTTTGTGGCTTCATTCATCTCCCACACGTATCAATGAATGTCTGATGCCTATTTTTTGAACTGTGGATCCCCTATTTTGAGGCCCTATTTCTAACTGTGGATCTCCTGTGTAGAACTCTGGATCCCTATTTTGAACCGTGGATCCTTATTTCGAACGCTGAATCCATATTTTGAACTTTTACATACCCCTTGAAATCCTGAATCCGTATTTCGACCTCTGAATCTGTAGCTCGAACTTTGAACCTCCTACTTCGAACTCAGAATCTCATGTTTCGAAACCCTAACCCCATTTACGAAATCTGAACCCCATATTTCGAACCACACTTATCAAATCCCGAACTTTGTACTCCGAACCCAGAACATTACCTTTCGAATCCTGAACCTCGATCCTATACACCCCTCCTTCAAACCCCGAATCCTAAAACCGAAACCCTAAAATCTAAACCCCATCTTTCGAACCCTAATACTGAACCCCTCACGACCTGAACTCCGAACCCCTTACTGAGGATATGAAAGTGAAGGTAGAGTCCCATAGGTATTGAAGCGGACAGGTGGCAGACACTGTACCCGACCATCTTTGCTTCCTCATGTGTAAAGTTAGGTACCCATTTACAGCTGGGTGGACTAGGGGCGCCTCTACCTATATAATAATGAAAGGAAAGGGCACATTGAGAATAACGCCGTGTAGGACTGGACTAGAGATGAGAGAAGGAGGGAGGGAGGCTGGGACACAGGAGTAAGGCGGTTAACCTCCAACGTTACACCTGAGTATCTCCTCACGGTCACCTACAGTGTGGCACGTTCTCTCACCTGGAGGGAGGGAGGGGGAGGGGAAGGGGGAGGTGGTGGAGAAGAGGTGTTGGGCACTACGTCAATAAAGGAAGTAGGGAGGGATGGATGGAGGGAAGGAGGGAGGGAGAGAGGGAGGTAGGGGAGGGATGGATGGGAGGGAGGAGGGAGGAGGAGGAGGGAGGGAGGGAGGTAGGGATGGAGGGGAGGTGGGGAGGGATGGATGGAGGGAGGGAGGAGGAGGGAGGAGGAAGGAGGGAGGAGGGAGGGAAAGAGGAGGGAGGGGAAGGTGGGATGGATGGAGGGAAGGAGGGAGGGAGGAGGAGGAGGGAGGGAGGGAGGATGGCCCAGAGGGAGGGAAACCAGTTAATTCGGGATTTGTATTGATGTACAAGGAGGAAGAGAAAGAAGAGGAGGAAGAGGCGAAAGAGGAATAAGAAGAGGAGGAGGAGATAGGGACAGACGTCAATAGAAAGGGTGGAAGGGAGGGAAGGGGTGAGTGAGTGATTGAGTAGGGGAGAGGGGGGGAGGGAGGGAGGGAGGGAAGGAAGGGAAAGGGGTAACACACACACACACACACACAAAGATGAATCCTTGAACTATATTTCTTAATAAAATCATTAATACTTTCCATGTGTGTGTGTGTGTGTGTACGTAACGTCAAAAAGCGTGGGAACATGCGCGCGTGTGTGTGTGTGTGTGTGTGCGCGTGTGAACTACCAACACACCATTACTTATTAATATTGAAAGTGATGGGTTTTAACCTGTCAACAGTGTGTGTTGTGTGGTCACCTCACACCACCGTCACCCTAAACAACCACTGCTAGTTTATTGAGCACCCCTTTGCATCCTGTGCATGGCGAAGCAGCGGAGTTCATGCTTGCTTTCTTTACTCATGCATTAAGGTCGCAAGTGCCTGAAGGTCCATGAAGTATGTCAGTGGAGTGTGTGTGGGGTGTGTGTGGAGTGTCTGGAGTGTGTGTGTGTGGAGTGTCTGGAGTGTGTGTGTGTGGAGTGTGTGAGGAGTGTGTGTGGAGAGGGACGAGGTCTTGGTGACGGCTGGGAACCTGTAGGAGAAGGTCTTAGGACAAGAGAGAGAGAGAGAGAGAGAGAGAGAGAGAGAGAGAGAGAGAGAGAGAGAGACTACGACTACCACCACTAGCGCGCACACACACACACACACACACACACACACGGAAACAGCCACATTAACCACAGCACCTCAGAACCTCACAGTGTGGCAGAGATAAATATGAAACAAGGCGGTGTAAAAAATGGCGCCCCATAGTCCAGTATGAGGTAAGTTATGAGGGGTAGGCTGCATTACAGCGCTGAGACTTGAGGCGTCATTAGGCCCATCACCGCAAAGAATCCTGACTCTTACATCGGATTGGTTAAGGGTTAGTGACGTCAGGGTGTCTAAAGAAGAGAGGTGGGGATTTGATTGGTTGTTGGATATGATGTCAGCCTGGAGATGAGAAACAGGATCCCGATTGGATAACGGAGTGGCATTGCAACGCCAAGGAAGTAGAATGGAAACAACATTGGCTCAAGTGAGTGACGTCACGGTTTCCAAGAAAGAGGACCGATAACGTGATTGGTTGAAGAATATGACGTCACGGCGTACAGAGTATAAGAGCCGCGGGAGGGCCTAGCTGTCAACTACTCCTCGTTCTACTCTGGTTCCTTACTGTCGTGGTAAATCCTCTTCCTTTCTTCAAGGTAAGAGACAGGAAAGTGAAAGCTTGTGTGTGTGTGAGAGAGACAGCAAGTGTGTGTGTGTGTGTGTGTGCATCTGTGTCTGTCTGTGTTTGTGTGTGTGTCTGTCTGAGTGTGTGAGAAGCCAACTAGTTTGTGTGCGTGTGTGTGTGTTTACGTCAAGGAGGAGCGTTTTAACGAGCTATTTTTTGTGAAAACTTCCAGTGTAGGTTTAATAGTTCACGTAATTTGCCTTTAAATAAATGTGTATGTTTATCACTCGAGTCTCAGGCCAATTTCTACCCCATCTTGACAACCTAACCTAACCTAACCCATTTTGACGAGTTCCTGTAATATTTATGGATAATTTCGTTAATGCGGACATATTAAAATAGTCCTACGAAAAATGTATTGATTTATAACACCAACTGACTGTTTGTGTGTCTGTCTCGTTCGTCATTCCGTCTGTCTGTTCGTCATTCCGTCTGTCTGTTCGTCATTCCGTCTATCCATTTACACACACACACACACACACACACACAGAGAGAGACAGAGAGAGAGAGAGAGAGAGTTGGAAGTGCTGTTTTAGTGAGTTAATTTGTCTGTAAGTGAGTCATTGAGTGAGTTATATAGTTGGTGAGTGATTGAGTGTGTTAATTTGTCTGTTAGTGAGTGATTGAGTGAGTTATATAGTTAGTGAGTGAGTTATGTAATTAGTGAGTGATTGAGCGAGTTATATAGTTAGTGAGTGAGTTATGTAATTAGTGAGTGATTGAGTGAGTTATGTAGTTAGTGAGTGATCTAGCGAGTTAATTTGTGAGTGAGTTAGTTACTTAGTGAGTTTGTTACTGAGTGAGTTTGTTACTGAGTGAGTTATTTAGTTAGCTACCTGGCAGCCAATTAAACCTCACCTGACAACCAATTTAGACCCTCCTATAAACCATCACTACATAACTCCGCTGACGAATCATAAAACACAGTTATTGGTTTAAGTAAAACAGTAAATTTATAGACTATGTGATTACCTGGTGGTTTAACGCTTGTGGTGGTGGCGTCAGCTGGTTTAGGGGGACCAGCTGTGTGTGTGTGTGTGTGTATGTGTGTGTTCAACAGGAAGTCAACGACCATATTTAACTGTTACTGAACTACTGTATGTGTGTGAGTCACCTAAACACACACACACACACACACACACACACCTTATTGCAGGGTGTATGGTGTAGCTCTGACCAACTGGTATAGTAGGTGTAATAAGGTGGGTGTGGCAGGGTGTGGTAGGGATGTAAGGAGATGTGGTAAAAGGAAAGGGGTGTAGGGTAGGGTGTAAATGGGGTGTGACAGAGTGTGGCAAGGTGTGGAACAGGATGCAGGGTGTGGAATAGGGTGCAGGGTGTGGAATAGGGTGCAGGGTGTGGAACAAGGTGCAGGGTGTGGAACAGGGTGTAGAGGGTGTAACAGGGTGTAGTCTCACAAGTAACAGTAACATTCATCTTTCAGACCAGTGACGGAGATGCGGTCTTTACTCGGTAAGTAACACGGACGGACGGACGGAAGACCAAACGGACGGAGGACGGACGGGAGACCAAACGGACGGAGGACGGACGGGAGACCAAACGGACGGAGGACGGACAAGCAAGCAAGCAAACAGACGGACAAACAAACGAACGGATGACCTTCCCAGACGACGAGGAGCGACAGACGAAGAGAAGGGTCAAATATCTCGTACCATAAACCAGCGCCAGTGCGAGCAGAAGACTGGCGAACCTACGTCTGGCGAATCTATCTCAATACGTATGATAAGGAGGAGAGGGTAAAGGGTAAAGCCAGACGAAGGTGAATGCTCGTGCAGGCGCTGAGGTTATGATACGAGGAGGAGGTAGGTGGTGACCCAGTGATACTTGAACCCCTGATACTTGAACCCCTGATACTTGAACTCCTGATCCTTGAACCCCTGATACTTGAACTCCTGATCCTTGAACCCCTGATACTTGAACTCTTGATCCTTGAACCCCTGATACTTGAATCTCTAAAACTTGAACCCCAATACCTGAACCCGATACTTGAACCCCTAATCCTTGAACTCCTAATACTTGAACCCCTATACTATATAAGTGATGGTTATTATCACCAATGAATTTCACAAAAGTCTACCGATAGTATTAGTAGTGCTGGTAGTAGTGGTAGTAGTGATGGTATTTGTGCTAGTAATAGTGGAAGTAATAGTAGTAGTGGTAGTAGTAATGATAGTAGTCGTGTTAGTGGTAGGAAAAATAATTCTAATAGTAATAGCAGTAGGGGTAGTAGTAATGCTAGTTGGAGGAGAGACAATTTTTGTAATAGTTATCGTAATAGTAGAAGAAATAGTAATAGTAGTAGTAATGGTAATGGTAGTAGTAGAAGTAATTTCAGTAGTAGAAGAAATAGTCTTAGTAATAGTACACGTGATAGTAGTAGTAGGAGTGGTAAGTGTAGTAGTAGTAATAGCAGTTGTAGTAATAGTAGCAACTGTAATAATAGTAATAGTAGTAGCAGCAACAGTAATTCTAATAGCAGTAGTAGTAAAATTAGCTGTATTATTAGTATTAACTATACTAGTAGTAGTAATAGTGCTAGTAGGAGTAGAATTAATTTTAGTAATACTAGTAATAGTAATAGTAGTTAGGATAGTAGTTTGTTAGCCTTATTGGACCTGATTAAGACTGGGGCCCATATGGTTAACTTAAATTGGGGCCTGGTAGCACTGGGGCCTATTAGAACTGGGGCCTATTAGCACTGGGGCCTATTAAAAGAACCTACATAACCAATCACCCATTACACTAAGGCATAACCCTGGGCATGGTGGGCATATTTTTCCCCCTTACAGTATGTACGGTGGTGGTGGCAGCGGGCATAGTGGTGGTGAGCCAGGAGGTCCTACCGTTCCTGGAGGCCGTACCTGTAACCTCCTTCTCCTGCGTGGACCGTCCCTATGGCTACTACGCCGATCTGGAGGCCAACTGTCAAGCATTTCATGTATGTCTGAATGATCTCAAATGGTCGTTCCTCTGTCCCAACCAAACACTTTTTAACCAGGTGAGTTACTTAGGTTACTGTGATAATGTTACGCTACTAGATGTTATTTAGTTACGTGTTACTGTTGTTCCTTTATAATGTTACGTTATTAGATGTTCTTTAGTTACGTTATTATTGTTACTTTGATAATGTTACGTTACTAGATGCTCTATAGTTACGTATTACTATTGTTCCTTGATAAATATTACATTACCAGACCCCCTTGAACTAGGCGTTACTACTGTTATTAAATAATACTTGATAAATAACCTTTACACTGGAGGGTTATAGTTACCAACCCTCAGATCATAATTTGTGTTGACATAAATAACACATCATCCTCCTCCTCCTTCTTCCCCTTCTGCAGGAGTACTTCGTGTGTGACCACCCCATCAACGTGGACTGTACCGTGGCTGACACCTTCTACACCCTAAATGATAACTTCGGCCAGGTGCAGGAAGAAGAAGGAACAGAAGCCCCGGTAGAGTGAGGGTGGTGATCTACTCTACTCATATGATCGAACCAATGCTCCCATACACAGCAGAGATAAACAAAGCACCCTGTTAGCATGATTGTAGAGTATCCCATCTAGATTACCTTACCTGATCTGACCTAACCTTACTTGATCTGACCTAATCTAACCTAACTTAATGTGAGCTGGCCTACATTATTTAACTTAATCTGTCATAATTTAGCCTAACCTAATGTAGCCTCATCTAACCTAACCCAATTCTAACTTTAACTTAACCTAAAATCTAACCAAACCTAACCCGGATGATGGGATGTTATACAGTTAAGCCATTTTGTTAAACACTATGTCAAGCGATGACTTAATTCCCCTGACATATTGTAACATTGTGGGGATGGAGTTAATTACATATGGGTCAATATTTCCTGTAATATGTTATACTGGTAACCTTTTGATTGATGCACGGAGCCACAGACAACAGGTATTATCACATTACCAATTTTTTCCTTAATTAGTTGCACCGTCAGCTCTATATATGGTGTGGTAATGACAGTACAATGCCAGTTTTATAATACCTGTTGTCTTTGGGAAGGTACTGATAACAGGGTACCAGTTTATAAATACCTGTTGTGCTTAGCAAGGTTACTGACAACAGGGTACCAGTTTATAATTACCAATCAGATACACTGTGTAGAGTCCATTATGTTAAAAACTTTTTAGCCTATGCGGGCATAAGGCTCTGAAACAACAAACAAAATAATTAAAAAAAAACAATAAATAAAGATAAAATAAACCAAAATAATAATACTTTGTTATTCGTTAATGGAGGTAGCAAGGATAGAAAACCATGATGGACGAGGTTGGAAAATTACCACGAACACGAGTTGCTGTTTTGTTTCGAGTTGTTTTTTTTTCCAGGCGACACAAGCCAACTTAAACCTATAGTCTAACCTAATTTCAACCGCCCATAACCTAACTTAACCCACACCTAACAAACTTAAACCAATCAGACTTACACTAGCCACACTAAAACCTAATCTTAACCACATAAACCTACCCTAACTACATAAACCGAACCTAACTTAACCACACCTATGGTAGATTTGGTTACGTTAGGTAGACAAAAAACCTAACATAACCAAAGCTAAAATTAGGTTAGACTTGGTTGGCGTGTGTCATCTGGTCTCAAATAGAGAGACAAATGGTTCAGGTGATTGGATAGTCAGGTTAATATAGGCCATTTTCCATCAATTCCCCTCACGTTTGTTGACATCAAAAATTTCCAAGTGATGAAATAAATGAAAGGTATTGTATTAATGTATTTCAGGTGTATTTCCCTCATATTAAATTGTATAAATAATATAATAATCAGTAAATATAGCGAAGGAAGCAAGGAAGTAATAATTTGTTAACTAGATATATTATTGGTTATATTACTAACGCTCTTGGTGACGTCACGCCGAATTTCAGTGTTATCATATGGTATCAACTTTTTTTTTCACCAATTATGTATGAGAAGTGGCAACAAAACTGCCCCTACACTCCCCCTGTTAATGTTATAAATTATAGTTCAATATAGATAGATAGATATGGTGGCGGGAATCTTGTTAATTATCCATAAAATACTAGAGCTTTAATGTTAGGTCACTATACAAACACGAAGCCTGATTTGTTGTGTTGTGCCAAAGTGCCGTGTACACCATAGCCCGTGTACATAAAAAAATACCATGACACACACAGTATACACATGTGTAGTGAACCTTAGCGTGTGATATAGTGTACTAACTTAACCCGAAGTAAGGTTAAGTTAGGCTAGATGTGATTAGGTTAGGTAGTGGATGATTAGTATTGGCTAACCACTAACAGCTAACGTTCACACACACACACATAGCGTTCAACGGATCACATGAAAATTACCCCCCCCCTAGCTTCTTTCACCTAATCTAGCTCCCCAGGTGAAATAAGCTGGGGAGGGGGTTAATCTTCAGGTGACCCTTAACACACACCTTTATATTTCTAGTCGTAGATCCTGTACAAGTCATCAAGTATTGTACGTAAACATGAAACAATTATTATCTATTTAAATTGTAATTTTATAATTCTAATAAAATCATAACAAAACAACTTTAACCTTTTTTTAGTTAATTACACACGTACTAACTAACGTACCATAATTACTGACACATCCATCACATACTCTTACTTATGTGACCAATAAAACAATATTATCGAGTGTATTTATTTCCAGTACACATTATCTTCATCATATTTTGTGAAGACAGTACAAGTAATCAGAGTTTGAGTTATACTGTTTTGATTTGGTGTGTGTGTGTGTACAGGTCAAGTTAATAATGTGTCTATGTGTGTACAGGTCAAGTTAATAATGTGTCTATGTGTGTACAGGATACGTTAATAATGTGTCTATGTGTGTACAGGAGACGTTAATAATGTGTCTATGTGTGTACAGGAGACGTTAATAATGTGTCTATGTGTGTACAGGAGACGTTAATAATGTGTCTATGTGTGTACAGGAGACGTTAATAATGTGTCTATGTGTGTACAGGAGACGTTAATAGTGTGTTTATATATATACATACGTTAATAGTATATCTATGAATGAAAGGTACATCTCCTAAACGCACATACACTATAAACATTTCATATACACACAAATACTCCATAAATCACACCATACAAACTCCGAATCCTTGAAACGACTCCTTAGGACAAACGAACACACACGTTTATCCTATTCTCGCTGAGTTATAAATACCAAGATATTATTTATTTTACTCCCACTACGACACTTAATTTACTTATATACTTAAGGCTTGTGTTTATATTATACTGTATATCCACATAAGTAACTTTATTTTACTACCACTACAACACTTATTAAATGACTTATGCCTAAAGTTTAATACAGGGAATTTATTTTAGTATTACAATAAAATTCCGATAAACACACACATACAGACATCTATTATAACTCTAAATATATATATATATATATTTGTATATGTTTATCTACTTGGTCGAGTTTTGTTTCAACAAAGGTGACAGGTAAGTTACAATGACCTACAGAGGCTAGAGAGAGACCGTCAGCCAGCCTGGTATTGGTTTGACGCTAACATGTACACTGTAAATAAAACACACATACCTTCACGCATCACCTAACATTACTACTGTACAGGATCAATCAACTCAATTAATTAAAATGTCCTTTATGGTTGGATTTAACTTATATATTAAAAATTACCAGCAACATAATTAATATAAAGGAATACCCGACCCAGGAAACCGACCCAAACATTCAGATAAACACTGCGGATTGGGTTAGGTTAGGTTAGGGTGGAATATGTTAGGTGAAGATTGGCTTTGGTTTGTATTTTCGCTAATTTAAGTTAGATTATATATTTTCAATTCGATTAAGTTTAGGTTAACAAATTCTCTCGTCTCGTCTCTATAGGTTAAACTCTCCTGCAGCTGACAACAACAATATGACTCACCTGTTATATCTAGAGTATTCACTGTATCATCGCCTCACACTGTACACCGCCAACATCACAGTCACTATAATACAACCGCCACAATAGTTTATAATAACACAAGACCGCCGCCATTACACCATGTCACTCGTCTGTCAACACACCAGTTAAAGTGAACTACCCATCTTAAAAAAGTACAACGACCTCGACGACTACTTACCTATTATTATTAACTTTTTATTACTAGTTACTATTATTTATTAATATTATCATTAAAATTACTTTTATTAAATTAAGCGACTCAAAACTAAACTAATCTAACTTTAGGATAGCTTTGGTTGGGTTAGAAAAGCTTTGGTTAGTTCGTGTTGCATGAAAAATAAATAGTTCGTGATATATTAAAAATTATATATCGTTCTTATCCTAAACTTTATCATCTTCGCCACTGATCAGCTCGTTAACAGCTTGGGCGGTCGATCACTTCACTGTTACACCTACCTGTAGTTGGCAAGTGCTGGCTCCAGAATGTATCTGTACCTGCGCCAGTGTTTGTCAAGTCTGGTCTTGAATGAGCTCACACTCCGTGCCGTCACAACACTTTCTGGCAGATTGTTCTAAGAGTTCATAACTCTCACTCCGAAAAAGTTTGCCCTGGCAGGTTTCTGAACGCTTAGCTTCCCCAGTCTTAAACTGCGACCCCTAGTGGGGCAAGCACTCCGCCTCAAAGACTTTTTCAGCTCTTCTACATTCTTGGCTTTGCTAAAGAAGATTCTTTAGCTCAATATTCCTACTTAGCATGTATTCAATTCTACGAATTAACCCCTATTAATAGATCTAATAGTAAATACATATATAATCTAAATCGATATACATAAAATGTTTCATAGCATTACGTAAAGTAGCCTCATGTATCCACTCAGTTCCCGCCTAAAAATCAGGAGAGCTTCCTTCCACAATAAAACTTAGTTAAAGACACTACGGAATACCTCGTGGAGTTAACAAAGTTACATTTGTATATATTTAATACAATATATAATCGTATGATACTAATATTAGTTATGACCATCATTATCAATGTTTGAAACTTTGTGCCGAACTTCGGTTGGGTTTAGGAGATACAGGAGTTGTAATGACACTAAATTGACCGTAAAATAAAGGTCACTGCCTCTCTGACCTAGTAGAGAGACACCATTGGAGGTCACAGTCAAGATGAACCTAAATTGGAGGTCACAACTTGGCATACCTAACAAGCCGAGGGTGAGGGTCAACATCCCCTATGAGAGAAGAGAGACAGGCAGACAAGAGAGACGGGCGTGAAAGGCAATCAAGGTAGGGGGGTCACAGGATCATAGGGCGTGATGCCCACTGTTGGATGCTGCTCCGGTGACGATAAAACTCGTCAGAATGTCTATCACCGGGCGACCTGGAGCGGAGCAGATCAGCCCTCGAAACATTCTGGGGCTAGGCGAGGGACTTGCTTTGTGCCAACCTGCGCATATCTTCCTCCGCCTCCTTCAGCTGTTCGTAGTGTTCTCGGGCATGTCGGAGCGGCACTACCAACACCTCCTCCGCCTGTACAACAACAAAAACAATATTATAGTACTCAACAACACAACAATATCATTATAGTACTCAACAACACAATATCATTATAGTACTCAACAACAACACAAAAATATCATTATAGTATACTCAGCAAGACACATTGTAGTATTAACATTGATAATTCCCTTGAGAGTCAGATTCCTGGTAACTCACCTGGGGGAAGAGCTGGCTGATGCTCTCAAACAGTGGGATGAGGACGAACTTGATGAAGCCTATCTGAGCTGAGGCCTTGGTCACCTTGTCTCTGTCCATGAAGGGCGCTACTGGTAACCCCTCCTGCTTCTCCGTCTCCGCCTGCGACAGGAGGACCACCAGTTAGACAGGGAGAGACCGTTAGACAACAAATTAGACAGGGAACCCAGGACACATAAACAGTTATAGACAGGGACTTCAAAAGACACAAACAGAAGGAATAAGTTCAAGACGGTATTTAGACAGGTAAACTTAGAAAGATAATCGTTACTGAAAGATAAGACAGACACAAGGGATACATTTTTTAAACTGGGAGATGTGTATAGACTGGTGACATAGGTGTGGAAGGGAGAGAAGTGAGAAAGACAATCACACACACCTGGTTGAAATACTCCTCCAGAAGGCAGTCAACCCAAGGCTCTGCAACTTTTGATGGCCTCACCTCGTTGGAGATATCACAAGCCTGCAACAGAAATTACACACCTATAACATCATTCACAAACCTGCATCGAAATATATAAAAATAGGAAACTGTTAATGATATTGTAGCGTAGTGTATGTACAGTCTTAATTGGGGGAGAATTTCCTGTTAGTTTTATTGTCTGCAGTTTTTTTTCGTGTTTATTATTTACTTAATACAATTTACAAAGCAAAAGTTGTAAGACCTAACAGTTTCATCATCAAGGTCATTTCTTGTACAGTATTATTGTTTTGGTTTGGTACGGAAGAAATTCCGTATACGCGCTTGATCTTCGCGGAACGCCTACATCACCAACAGCGGAACATAAGAATAGGTTGCTGTGTCGAGTCTGAACTGGTGACGTCATATCAGAGGGTGGAGCGTCAGCGGTAATACTCATGTTTTATTGGCTGAAGTGTTTGTTTATTTATATCATCGGAAACCAATCATTGTTCAGTTAAAGAACGTTTAGTACTCGTGACTACATATTATTGAATAGATTTCATTCATTCTTAATTTCAGAAAATAATGATCGATTATTATGTTGTAAAAACTTTGTAGCGAGAAAAGTAGAAGTGAAAGTGATGAGATTAACGTTTCATAAAAGTTATCTGTGTAAACGTTGCTGTAATTCGTCTGTTTTCTATGCAATGTTTATTTGTATATTGTGTGTGTATCTACGTGCAAAATTAATAAAAAATAAGCAAACACTCACTCACATCCTTAATTCACTGCACTTAGGTAAAGTTCTAAAAATAAAAATAATAGAATTAATAAAAGTAAGAATAGTTTTAGCGAAGATTTCATACGTGAAAATCGAATCACATGACTTTACGCCAGGCTTGTAGGTTGATAGTCAGCCATTTAGTCTTTAAATTACAACACCTAATATTCACTTCGTTTTAATTTAAGCTTAGTAGGGATCTTTGTTGTCTCTTACCTTAATGAGGATCATCTTGAGTACATTAAGGTGGTCGTTGTTCTTGTAGTCAAACACCTCGAGTTTCTTCTTAAAGTCGTCGACGATATCTGAGTGACGGGCCATATCCGTAGCTAATATCAAAATGATGATGTCCTGCAAGGGGATATAGGATTTGTGTACTTTTTGATGTCCTTTGGGGGAAAGCTGCGTGTGTCCTTATTTCATGTCCTATAAGGGAGGGTTGTGTCTTTATTTGATGTCCTATTGTACTGATTATAATCGTATATGTAATGATAAACACACACACACGCACACGCATTCTTATTACTTAATCCTAGCAAAGTATTAATGTACTGTATTGTATTCATTTTAAAGAGAACTCGGCATTCTCTCACTCTCTATCACTCTCTCTCGCTCTATCTTTATCTCTCACCGCCCTGATCTCCTTATACACTTGCTCGGGGACGCTGCTGAAGATGTTACACTCTGGGTTGGCCAAGACCCTGAAGCCTACAGCGCAGTGGTGATTCTCCAGGGGTGAGGCGTCATTGTACCTCACCGCCAGCTCTGTCCTCGCGTTGATCTGATACCTGAAGGAGTCGCAGAAGGGAAATAGTCTGTTTATTTACCTCTAATGGACACTTACACGAAATCTGGAATGATATTCTTAAAGATGCTATTTTGGGGGGGGGGGTCATTTGAAGATTTGACACCCCAGTTTATTGATTTTCACCTGAAGATTAACCACCCTATCGTTACCTGGGGGTTAGGTTAGGGTAGTTTAAATTAGGTTAGTGTTAGGTTAGATTAGATTAAGGTAAGGTTAAGTTAGTGTTGAGGTGGTTAATTTCCAGGTGATCTTATCTTTATTTTATCATCAACAACACCAATACTCACAACACCCCAACACAACACAAGGAACAATAACCTACAACACAAATCTTCACAACACCAGTCTCCACAACACCTCATAACACCAATCACAATAACCTACAACACCTCATAACACCAATCACAATAACCTACAATACCCACCAGTTATTATACCCCGGGTGATCAAGGTCGTGACAAACACAGGCGGTGATGAGAACCCCTATGGCCTTCCTTGATAGTTTCTCCTGTAGGCGACACAGATGAATGATGCCGTACATCATCTGGGTAACGCAGAAGCAGTGACGAAAGTTGTGGAAGGGATTGTTGCGATAATTCTCCTGTACACTCACCTGAAGGAGATATAGAAGTTGTTATTTATTGTTGGTGGGTGGAGGGAGAGGATGTGGGTGTGTGTGTTATATAAAAAATACTACAAACTACTTGAAGCATTTTTCACAATAAAAAAAAAAGACAGAGAGTGGGAGTGGTGTTGAGGAGAAATTAATAACACAAATCGAACGTGGAAGAATGACCTAGGATGGTGAGAGTTAGAACTAGGAGTGAGAGAAGTATATCAGAAGAGCTAGGAAGGTGAGAGAGAATGCACGTATACTTACTAGAAAGTTCCGTAGTGTGGGAGGGTTAATGCAGAACTCTTCCATCAGACCTAAATCCCGGTACATGTGTTCGAGCAACGTCAACATCTGTAATAACAAGTAAACACGGGATACTTACTAGGCTCTCTCTCTCTCTCTCTCTCTCTACTGACAAACGTACATTAATTTATTACACCTATAGCTTATTTCAACCAATGGAAATGTAGTAGACTTTTCTTGATTAAATGGGTCCTGTCCTAATGGGCCCTAGTTAGGTTAGATTAGGTTAGGTTAGGACATCAATACACCTATGGTTCACCTCACCTCATTAGGTTCCCACTGCCATACGTCGAAGGAGGGAAGCTTAAGGTTCTCCACTGTCTCCTTCGTCAGGTTGTACTGAAGGGGATACAAACATAGTCACAACTTAATTAGAATCTGAATTAAACTCATTGACAATTTGACTCTAAAATATAGCATCAGTAAGGGTTATTATGGCCAATATACATAGATTATTTTATATAAATTGGGTCAAGTTAGGGTGTAAGTAAGGTTGGTGTGGCAGTACCTTGGTGAAGGGAGGAGGCTCTCGTTGTAAGGTGATGACGTGTTCCCTCACTGTGCCTGGAGAGAAGAAGGTGGCTGGCAGCGTCACGGCCGGCCTACAGAGGGTGGGTGACAGCATTAGAAGTGTTATTACAAGGAGTTCACAGTTCGCACGCACGCACGCACGCACGCACACGCACACACACACACATTTCTAACTTTCTTGTCATCCTCCTAATCTTTCTGCCTTAGTTCTAACCTTTTATCCCTACTGCCTAGCTCCTATCCCTTCGACCTCACTTCCTATTACTCCTGCCCCCAACCCACCTCTTATCCCTCCTGCCTCCAACCCACCTCTTATCCCTCCTGCCCCCTTTTACCCACTTCCTAACCCACCTGCCCCACTCCTTACTCACCTTAGTCTGGTAAAATCGACGTGTCTTGTCTTCTGGTGAGTGAGGAAAGCGTCTCGTATGTCAGCGATCTCATATTTGAACTTTTCTATCTCGATCACTCGCTTGCTGTCTCCCATACGGATACAAACCCAAGAGAATGGCCTTTAGTACACCTTTTGTTTGCATGATTGTTTAGGATTTATATGTTTTTAAGTCAATAAGGATGGTTTTTATTGATAACATTTAAGAGTGGAGATCAGTACCACCCTTTGACAACAAGTTTTATTGTTATTTTTTTCACATTTGGTACCGCAAGTATGAATTTTGTAGAATATTATTATACTTACTTTCAAGTCTCTTTTCGAGGGAAGTGATGCGAGCCTCGAAGTCCGCTCTCAGCTCCTCGATCCGGAACACCTTCTGAAGTTGAGCTGCTACGGCGGCCACTGCGTTGTTGACGACCTCATCCTTACCCCCGCCCACCTCTGTCAACACCAGGAGTTATCTGACCACACACACACACACATATACCAAGCTCATGATACAGTCTATACTACACATAATACACTATACAATACAGTCTACATTACACAATACACTCTACACTACTCACAATACGGTCTACACTACTCACAAATTGCCACAATAGTCTACACTACAAGTACTTCATGGAATAAATGCGCCAACATCTCATTTCTTACCATTATAAACAACGTAACTTATTAAGACTTTACAAACCATTGATAGGATATGTTTTCAATCTTCCCATGAGAGAAAATGAATTAGAAATATTGTTGATGGTCGACTGAAATAGAAAGTAATGTATATGATAAATTTAATTCACTTGAGTTTGATATTCTGCAATTCCATCTTAATAAACCAATATAGGTATTGCCTGAGTTACTTACCAGGCATTCCATGATCAACTAAGTGAACTAGTGAAGTCAGAGTGAAGTTTTTATAAGTGTATGTGGCAACTATTATGAATTCTACAATAGATTCGGCTAAACTACTAATTGTGGAGTAAATAATACTAGTGTGGGGTAGCCCGTGTGTATCAGAAAGACTATTATTAGCCCTAGTACTGTCATATAAAAGCGCGATTACACAAAATAATTAGCCATACAGAAATGCACAACACTGGCAATTCGCATAAGCCTATTATATATGTATATATTAATGTAAAGGGCATCAATATATCCAAAAATTATCGTGAATTTTATTAGTTATAGGTTGTTGTTCAGTAGATGTGATGGTGGGAGGTAAGCAAATTATAATGTTAAATGAATGACAGGTAGGTTAGGATAAGTCAAGTCAGGTCAGGTGGGTACATGCCTGGAAGCAATCCTTGTTTAGCTCGTTTCCTGAGGGCCGCCACACCTGCAACACCGAACAATAAACACACTTGTGCTGTTTTTTTAACGTGTGTGTGTGCGAGTCGAAAAGACATTCAAAAAATATCTAATAATCTGTTTTCATAGTCCTTATAAACATTTAATTATTTGTCATTAATTATCGTATTTTATGTGTTGCAGGCAAACAGTAAACAACAAACAACAACATACACAACACACTACGATACTTGACAACAGATAAACAAAGATGCAAGATTAATAAATGAATTACAACTTAATGGAAGTCTAATATCTTCCATTTTTTCTAGAAGAGTGAAGCTGTATGAGGTGAGGCGAGGGACGTGAACAATACTCACTCTGACGGTAGGTGTGTGCGTCAACAATAAACGTATCCCTGTAACAAGTAATAATAACAATAATAATAATAATGAGCTTAGTGTTAGTAGTAATATTAGTTGTAATAGTATTGACAATTTAAGTATGAATAGTAATGATTATTAAAAATATATTGATGAAAAACTTAACACAAGGGCCGTGGAAACGGGAATATCAGCGCGTAGATGACCTTAAGAGATAGATAGATAGACACACGCACACACACACTCACTGAGCGGTATTAGTCCTCATGGCGGGAGAGACAGTGATATGGGCGCCGTGTTTGTCCTTCAGTAGGACGGCGGTACCTCTGGGTAGTCCACACAACGCCGCCAGCTGGTCTTGTAGATCTCTGGAGCTGCACCCGGCGCTGAACGTTACCTTAGGGAGGAAGGTGAAGGAGATCACTAAGTTTTCACACAATTACTGCATACGTTTCTAGCTCTCAGTGTAACCCAACATCTATTATTTTAGGATACAGAGTCGTACAATTAAAAACGACAGGATAATACCGTAGACTTTGTGTGTGTACCGTGTCTGTGTGTGTGTGTGTATACAGTGAGACTTACCTTCTGCACGTTGTTGAGGACCTTGATGTAGATGGTCTTGTTCACCTGCGAGTTGTTGGGTTTAGTGGCTGCGCTGCCCATCCTTGTTGACGTGTGACACAACCACCACTGCCTACCACCACCACCAACCCCTACTGTTACCAACCAGCCAGCCAGCCAACTACTACCACCCTCACCACCAACTAGTAGTACCAGTAGTCATATAAACCACAACTACCAGAATTACCAAACCACAATTATCACCACCAACTACTACTATTCACTCAGTCATCAATCACAATTACCACCACCAACCACTACCACTCACCAGCTACCACCACCAACTATTCAGCAACCCTCCACTCTCGTCAACCAACCTTTACTGTTCACTGCGTCTCTCAAGCTCTGAATACCAATTCCTGATTGACTGACTGACTGTTCGACTGACTGAGTGACTGACTGAACATATGAATGAATGAGTGAGTGATTAACTGACAGACTAAAGGATTGGATGACTAACAGACTTACTAAATGACTTGATGACTAACTAATAACTGGTAGACAAGCTGACTGACTGACAAACTAACTGACAGAGAACATATTCAAGCAGATTAAATGACTAGTTCTGGCTCATAGTTCTAAGGTATCAAGTCAAATCTTTGTTCATGTTAAGAACCGCCCCAGTAACTCGTGTTTTGGCGGGCCTGATTCAACATTGTGCCTCCATTTGTATCAAGAATTGTTCCGATTCTTATAATGGTTCTGTGTACACATTAATTCGGTTCATGTTCGGGTTTTTTCACTGTCAAGGCCTTAATATAACTGGTTCTTGAGGGTTCTGTTTGTCAAGCTCGGTTCTTCGGTTCTTGGTCTTTCTCACTGGACTTTTTCTGGTTCTGTTTTTCAAGGATTTGGTTCTTGGTCAGTCAACACTTTAGTTACTTAGTTCTTCATGGTTCTTTTAGGTAATTGTTCAGCTCTTGTTTTTTTAGTACAATTATTTCCTAGTTCTTAATGTTTCTCTCACAATGATTCAGTTCGTGGTATTTTACATTTAAAACTAATCAATTCTGTCGTAGTTTTACACTTGTGTATTTAAAGACGACGCGGCGAGGAATTTAGTTGAAGTGATAAAAGTTAAGCTCCGATATTATGAGAAGGATGCCGGGTCGTGTGGCCAAGAGACCATCCGCGGCCCGTGCCTCTGACGACAGTCCTTCATCTGAACGCTTATTGGTTGTCTGCCGATGACTGTCGACCAATCACAACCGCCAGGCCTTGGTAAAGGTAAATACGATCGATATCCAGTAGGTCAGTAATGAAATGACCAGCCAGGGATGACGGTGTCACCTGAACCAGTTCACACCTATTATGACTCCCCAGCTGATACAAACGACCAAAAATGGTGTAGTGAACTGTCGCCCTCTAAGATAGGTAATGCATTAGCATGAGTGTAGTGACAATTATTTTTTTTGTTCGTTAATGAACCCCCAAGATACCTTACATAACTATGTCCTATAGACAAGGCTCAGGGCGGAGGACTCAGGCACCACACCAGTTAGCACAAACAACAAAACGAATCTGCCTCGGCCCATTGTCTCAGGTGTAGACTTTAGATTAATTCACAGACACATATTCGAAGTCCCATGAAGCTCCATGCCCTCTGAACCCTCAAAATATAAAATTGTCAATATCTCAATGAGGCAATTATCGATAAATATGCATAGTACTGTACTAAACAATTACAATTAATACATTTATAGACCCATACCATGTCGAATATATTCAGTAATTTACGGCCAGTCAATAAATAAGCCAAAAATAGAGTTATACCCGTCTCAGTGCCCATACATGTAGACGAGAGAGAGAGAGAGAGAGTGTCAATTACTGTATATAGATTCAATACTGGTAGATCGAACGGTGATACAGCTGGTAGTACTGGTTGTGAGTGAGCTGATCGATCTCCACAATCTACCAGGAAACGCCCATTTATCTTGGAGTATTGGAACATCTTTACAGTGTCTTGTTAGGTGTACTGAATTCCACAGAAAGTTGTTTGAAGAGTGTACGGTATTACTAGGCTGTGTCGTGTAGCTCAGCCAATTGATGTATCTACAGTTGGTACCATGAGTTACAGTAGTGAGTGAGTTATAGTGAGTGACAGTTGATGCCCTGAGTTAGTATTGAGTGACAGGTTGTGCCATGAGTTACAGTTAGTGCTATGAATTACAGTTTGCACAATGAGTTACAGTAGTGACAGGTTGTTCCAGGAGTTACAGTAGCGAGTGACAGCACCATAAGTTACAGTAATGAGTGACGCGTTTTTCGAGAGTATCACACAATATTAGCCGATTTTTTTTGTATGAATACTGTATGTTCTTGTATCTATAATTGAGTAAACACCTGTACTTGAAAATGCGTCCAATTAGCAGGTGTTTGGGTCTAAGACTTACCGTCTTCTGATAGTGGTATGTGACCAGGTGTATAAGACTTGCATCACTTATTGATTTTAATTACTATCTAATGGACATTTATGAAGCCCTGCATCGAACCTTACCGTCTTGTTTGATAGTTATGTAAGTTGTCACCATCATCATTTTTGTAATTATTTGTATCCATCATTATCATCATTATAATTGTCATTATTTGTCTCATCATCTTCTCCTTAGGATTAACGTGACACACACACAAGGGTTATATGAGTAAAGAGATGAAATGACACTAAATTAAAGGGCAGAAAAGAAGAAGAGAGAGGAGGAGCAGGATGAAGATAACATGAAAGAGGAGGAAGAGGAGATGGAAGTGGAAAGAGAAGAAGAAGCAGAAGAAAGACATAATGAGGGTCATATCTCCCAGGTGATCCTTACTTGACCTAGCTTATGAGACATACCTCACCTCATCATTCTAGCTACCTGCTCCCGGACCTTACCTACCTGGGGGGAGAAGACAAGGATAAAGGGAGGAATGAAGGAAGGAAGTGAGATAGGATGGGAAGGGGAGAGCATTGGGGGTAGGGAAGGCGAGATGGATGTACTACTGTTGGCCCTTCAAGGAATCTTTTCATCACTGTAAGCTTTGGGTGACAAAACTGAGGTACACCTATTGTGAGTACTGTAGAGTAATTCCTTGTAACATTACCAGATAACAGACACAGTCAAGCCATCCCTTGAATTAGAAAGGGCTTTTCAGGCAGGGAAGTGTTACATACATCAGGGGATGCCTACACTGTACTATGATGAAAAAGATCTGATTCACCCACAGGTAATGTTCTGTGACCATTTCTTGTATTTTGTAACACAGCAACAGGTTAATGTTATAACACAGCAACAGGTTAATGTCACAAAACAGCAACAAGTTAATGTCATAACACAGCAACAGGTTCATAGACTAATACAGCAACAGGTTCATAGATTAACACAGCAAAAGGTTCACATCAAAGTTAGATCAATATCAACATTTTAATTATCGATATGTCCATTAAATACATGAGAGTATTTATCACAGATAAAAAATTATAATGGAATAATTATATAGTCTTTGGTATAATAATTTTACAAAACATGGCACCTGAATATAACATCTCAAATCTACCAAGAAAAAAATAATAATACAGTTAAATACAACATACATATACAGATACATCTGGACTATAGTTTACAGGAGAAACTGACTTATGAAACAAAAGCTTAATAACCCATAGAAAATAAAACCTTGTTGTGGGGAGAGGAACAAGGCTGACAGGTGTGGCAGAGGTTCTGGTGCAGCTCCAAGGTAAACACAGGTAATGACTTTATTAATGAATCACTTGTGGAGAAGATTTGTTAATGTGATGAAACTAAAGACATTTAAAGATAGTTATTATGTTGGGAATGATTATTGCTGTGTGTTCATGTATAATGGATCCATTTATATAAGAAAGATACAGGTACACCATCTGCTTGAGCTAAATAATAATTGTGTACAGTACATGGAAAGAAAACAATATCAAGGAGGAACAACAATAAGAAATATGGACACAATAGCTTATGTAGAAGAGGATCTGGAGATTTTCAGTGACTTGGTAATTAAAGTTCCAGCGTTGAATAGTCAGGTGTGAGCTGGTAAGAGGCTCGTAGGATGTATTAATAAAAAATAAAAAATAATTAATATACCATCATACCTGAAATGCACTCATACCTCACTCAGTGCTCAGGATGTGTTTGTGGAGAAGTAAACACTAACTCAATTTGTTATACCACCATATGCAAGTGCTGACAGATTGCCGGCAGTATTATTTCTTACAGTAATAGCACTAATAGTAAACATATTGATTACCTCAGGGAGTAGTGACCCTACCTTGCCAGCTAATTGGGTTAGAACAATAAGAAACATCAAGCCTTCAAATTTACCTAATGGTAACAAGAACACCATGTCATCCAATAATCACAGTTAACCCAAGGTCCCCTGTCAATTACTGCTTCCTCCAATTAAACTCGAAACCACTTTTGACTTTTTAAAAAAATTCAGTGTTGGCAACCCAACAACAATACCATATGCTGACAGACTCAGATGAATATGACTTAAAATTACACTATTTAATTTCAGTTTACATTCAGGGAAATAAGGTTTTAAAATTTGGGAATTAAGAATGATACCTTAAGCTCACCAGAGAGATGACTGGGAGAAGTATAAGAGGAAGTGAGAACAGTAGAGTAGACACACACAAAATATAACAATGTGATAACTTTCAAGTATATGATGACTTACTTCACGAGAGCAATATACTATAATGTGGGTGTGAGGTCCCCAAAACAAAATGAATAAACACACAGTGAAATTCAGTGACATTTTTTTTACACCAATGCTTAATGTCCACGCATAACTAAGGTCATATTAATCTATCATACTAAATCAGCTTCGAAAAAATGAATGTACAATTCAAATATTTTCACTAAAATATCCTCCATCTACATAATCTTCCATACATTTGTTTAAGCTGCATCATTTCTTCTAAAGATACCTCTGTCACTCCTCAAAAAATGTATATCAGTAAGTGGCTGGCCTACCTAACCACAAACTACAAAATTTTTGGTTTGCTGCTCAAGTCAAGAAGAATCAGTTTGTCTTTTTTCTGGACTTATTATGTACACGATCTGTTTAGCATAATGTATGGTTTGTCATACTATATAAAAGGTCAACAATCACTCTGTTTAAACTTCTGCTCTCGTCACACGCAAGAGGAACTTACTAAAAAAAAGAAGAAGTTTGATGTTAATGTACAGTGCTCTATTTCACATGACAATTTGACAGTTTAATGATGAATGAGTTGAATCTACTTACAACAGGCTTTTTGACTATAATTTGTGGAGGTGGACATTAGTGTTAAGACTATACAGTACCTTGACCTGCAGCATCACAGCCATTACTCTTGCTAAGATGTTACCCAGAGCTGGAGTCTCTTAACCAAGCTAAACTATACAGACTTTCTCAGACTGACTGTTACTGAGGCTGTGTTGCTGTGGAAGGCTTGAGGCAGTTCACTCAGAATGGGAGAATGAAGAACATCAAGCCATGGTAGACATATTACTGTTGCCTAGTAAAGCAAGCTGACATTTGTGACTTGTGCTGACAACAAAATCCCTACATACCATTAATAGGTATTTTGGTCTATGCATAGCTCAGAGGTAAATAGCACACTTGATAAATGCCACTGATACCAGATGTATAAAATTACATCTGTTTTTATGATACAACTGAATATGACAAATTGGCATGTACTTCCACCCACTCAACATGGATGACTCTTTATCAATATCTAGAAAAAATATAGTGAAACTCCTTTTAGTGAAATGTTATATATATGTGACTGATGAAATAATATGAATACTGGTATTTGAAAAAATATACATAGATATTTATAGATTAGCTATAAATGTTTCTCCTAGTTGTACTCACACACGAGTAGTAAACACCTATGACCAGAAGCACACATGATAAGATGGTGTAATTGGTGCCGAGTCAACTATTTCTTATAAAACTCCATCACAAGCGAAGAGGAGTAGGTGATGACTATTACAGTATACAGTACTTTGATTATGGCATCTTAAGCTACTGTATTTTTCTTATGTGTATTACACTTCTGTAGATCTTTCTTTCTGTTCCTTTCTGTACCTTTGTAGAGTACATTATACAAACACAATGGTCTTTCTGTACCTTTGTAGAGTACATTATACAAATACAATGGTCAACAATAACTCTACATCAGGTTTGCAACGTTACAAAATGGCCAACGCTTACTTTCTGTCTACAGCTCTCACATAATCTAAATCACCTCTTATAATCTTTAACTAAATTGAATCTCTCTAAATCATTTTACAATCACAGTTATTTTTGTTTTACAACTAGTCAAAATTATATATATTTTACTACAGGTGTTTGAGATAGACTATACTTATAACACAACCTTCATCGGATTACTGTACAGTATCTCAGAGTATTATTTGACAGTAATTCATTAGTAACTTCAATTCTTTATCAATACAGTTGTAATATATGTCTACTATAATTCCCTTCTTAATTTATACTATATATACAGAGTATATATATATATATATATATATATATATATACAGTATATATATATATATATGTATATATATATATATATATATATATATATATATATATATATATATATATATATATATATATATATATATATATATATATATATATATATATATATATATATATATATATATATAAACACACACAGTTACACTTTAACAACCACAGTAGTTCCCTGTCTGATAAAATGTATATGAGATCACTTAGCCATATATACTGTATATTATACATATCCTTTATATCCCACTATATAAGGCACCTTCTCACAGGGATCTTGTCTAATATATAACTAATTATTTTTATATTCTTTTGTTCAATACACAATTTCTGTGGATGGTCCTACTTTCTTTATTCTGCTTGATGATCACCTGAAGATTAACACCCCTCCACCCCAGCTTATTTCACCTGATGATTAGGTTAGTGTTAGGGGGGCTAATTTTCATATGACCCAAAGGCATTACTATCTTGATAAGATGGATGATTTTTACTTGCTCAATAACTCTTAAATTTACTATTCTATATAATTCATGAGTTTATTCCTTCCTTCAAGAAACATTAGTTGAGTCCCAATATACCAGACCTTGGTAAAAGTTGTTTCAGTAAGGCAGTGATCCTGTCAGAACACCAGCCTGGTAACACAGACACATCACACACACACTGTATTATAACTGTTCTGAACTGTATTTTTAAAACCTTCCATAGATTACAAAAAAATAATGTTCTCCTATCTTAATAAGTTTTATATAAACTTTATAAATAAATTAATAATTAATTAGTCATCAGTAAATGCCTAAATGATTTTACTAAATTTTAAAAATTTATCTAATTTTCTGAGTCCTTAATTTATCCAATTTTCTACATGCTGCATACACAAAACTATGTTAACTCTTGAACCTTAGGTAAATTGCTTCAAACATGGGAATGGTGAATAATATACAATAATACCCCTATGAGTCAGAATCTTCAATCCCCAGAACTTTCCATTATTAAAAAAAAAAACGAGCATTCTGAGGAATTCTGAGAAAAATCTTGCCGTTCTGGGCATTCGAACAAATTTCTGAGATTGCATCATGCCACTGACACATGCTAAGCACATGAGTGGGTAAGCTAAGAGTGCTTGAGCACTATGATTGACTACTACTGCCATGTGACTGCAGGGGGAAGCCTATGATTGACTGATGTATCTTGTAGCCTACATCCTCAAACTCTTGCATCATTACCCTCTTAGTTCATTAGCTGCTGCCATTGTACAAGCTTGCTCACTGCTGTTTTTGCATAAGATCAGTGTTATGCAGTAATGTACATTACTGTACCGGAATGCAATCAGCCAAGAATACTGTTAAAGCAGTGTTGATGTAAAAAAAATTACAGTTACATATACCTGTACTGTACATTCAGTAATCTGAAAGTACCATACATACAATACTGTACATAGCAGTGAACAGTGTATGCCTACTGTAAGCTAGTGTGTAGAGGGTGTATGTACAGTATACAGTGTGTGTACAATCCCTCCTTCATGGAGGGAGAGGAGAGTGATAGTTAGCAACACCTGCTACAGTAGATGGTACAGGACAAAGGCAGGCCATCTTGTATCATCATATCACCATTTGGCATGTCTGCATCACAAGCTCAAAACAACAGCATCTGCTGGTGAGTACAGTATACAATTGTATACAGTATTTTGTTTATTTACAATATACTGTACAATGTGTACAGTAGTGTTTGCATGAATAAATACAGCTCTGTGTCTGTGACACTGCAGTTAAGCCTCTGTAGCAATGGTGTTCCGTGTGAGTTGTGAAGTTTAGATGTAAAAACATTCACCAATGCCAGGAAAAATTCCAGGGATGTGCGATTTTTCCCGGAATAAGATAATTCGTCTCAATACTCGGAAATTTCTCAAACCAATTGTTTCAGCTAATGGGGAGATTACTGTACAGTACTTATACTAATGCCAACTAAACCAAACTTGATTAGAAAGACTTTTGGGAGAAAATAATTAAGCTTTTTTGGTTTAGCTTTACATATACAGCTTAATATTAACACCCAAGCTGATGTTCCTGAAACTCACTTCTTCCTCCATTATCAACACAACTCAAGTTCACTATTAAAACTTTGTCATCATTATCTTTCTCTATTATAACTCAAATTTTGTCTTCACTATCTTCCCTTTATTTTTATTAAAATTTTACAGTATTATCACTATCTATATAAATTTCATGCTACAGTCAATAACACTTCCTTTGTTCTTGAAAATACAGTTGCATGAGTATTTTGGTCACTAGTGTTTCATTACGGAAGGTCACTAGTGATTTGTTTTGGTCACTAGTGTTTCATTACGGAAGGTCACTAGTGATTTGTGTTACACTGTTTGCCTATCAATGTAATGGAGCAATTTGTTTTACACTATTGACCAGTCGATATAATACTTTAGAGTTACAGACAGTGTGCTGTAGTGTACTTAAAACTATTATTATTATTCAGGAATGTAACACAGTGGAGAAAAACGTGAAAAATCTACGCCTTAACAATAACTTCACTTATTAAACACACATCACACACGAATGTTCACTTCAAACTTACTCTTTCACATACCAGAGGCGAAGTAAACGAGAACCCGAAAATGTTGCCATACTTGTCAATGAGTGAGAGAATGAGAGGAGGAGGACGTTGCCAGTAAAACTCACTCAGCTCGTGAGGAACGGCGACAGTTCTGAATCACAAGTTAACTCTGGGAACAGCTCATCCAGCACAGCATCCAGTAAGACGTACGACAGCTGAAATCATGTAATATTTGGTCCATTATAACATCCAACTTGCTATTTCTATTTCTTATGTTTTTACAATATTATCATAGACTCCTCTGAGATGAATAAAATTGTCTAGTATTAGCCAAATAATATATTAAAAGTGGTATCCTCATAGTGAAGGGGTTAACAAGATACCTTACCAGCACTAATGACCAGACAGTCGTTCAATGCTGTTCTCAAGTCAGTATTAAAACACCAAATATGTGAAAAAAAAACATCTTACAGAAATTATTATAATGCATTAGACTAAACATTTGATGTTGACATCACACCTTCAACTGCCATTCACCTGTCAGCATTATTTAAAATATGTAATAATCTTTCAGTGAAGTAATTATCATATAACTCCATTATTTTACAGGACAGCAGGACAAAAATGAGGAATACTGAAATTAAGGTAAAATAACTGGACAATGGACATATTATTCTCAGGATGAAAACGTGAAGTTCAAGATTTTTTTTCTTACAAAACTTTTCCCTCCACAGTGAACAGTACTGCGGCCAGATCCACCCACAACACACACACAATCCAATTCCTTAATATACCCATACTGTATCATCTTTACAAACCCTGGTCAGCTACCTGTCTAACACTCACATCTCCTTACACAGCTGTTCTCTGCATCTTATTCATGCTGTGTGTACACAACAAGAGAAATACATCAAGTCTTGCCTGCTTATTAAGAACCGGCTGTTGGAAGAGGGTGACCAAAGTGTTTGCTCCCTCAGTGTAAAGATCTTGAGTGAAGAGAAGGCGTTGTAGCCACGTGGGTAACAACATCACCACTTCCTTCCGTAGTTCCTTCTCCCTGTTCCTGTGATCTGCTTCTGTGCGTTCTGATGGAGGGTCTACAAACAGTGCATCTGGAAATGTAAAATCACAAGTGTACAACCTGTTTCTGTGTGTTGTGATGGAAGAACTATATAAATACCCTGTACGTATGAAAATGATGAATGGAAAACAAAAAGGCACCAATGATCTCATGTATAACTAATGCCTGATACTCAACACAGAGGGAATCCCATTAAATTGTCTGGCAATACCCAAACAAAATATTGAAAATGGCATCCTTGAAATGAAGGGGTTAAGACTGAGAGCTGTATTACCTGTGACCTACTTGAAGATCTTTGGAGCAGAATTAACACATAATGATAATGACTGACCTCGAATAAGATGGATGAGTTTAACAATACGTGGTGGGGCGAGGGCCAAGGCCAACTTGCGCCTCAAGAACCATGCAACAGCCGCATCCAGCGTGCTTCTGGTCAACAGTCTCACGCACATGAGCCAACGCAGGGCACTGATTGACAGACCATACACACGCACCACTGTAATACAACTCAAGTCAAAGTCTGCATAAAAGGGAGGGTATGAATAATCATACAAGCAACAACACACAAAGCTCCCACAACTCTTCATCATGATTACTAGTTAAAGTTTTGATCGTTCAATAATTCACATGTTTGTAGGATAAAGTAACACGATTTAAATGTTTTTAGAGGAATGTTGCTCTAATCCAGACTTTTCACTTTTCCAGGCAACATGACACACCTTAAAGAGTACAGTACAAACTAAACATCTTCACTTACCCAGGTAGAGGACTGTATCAAACACCCCGACAACACTCATGGTGGCAGGTGGTGGAGGGGCAGGTTCATGAAGGGGTGTTGGCAGACTCTGGGCATTATCCCCAAACAAAGTGTTCAGGAGAGAACTGGCTGAGAGGGAGCCTTCTGACTGGTCCCCACCATATGACATATCATCCAACTCCAACCTGAGACCAAACCAACTGAAGTGACTTTAAAGTTCTCACTCTGTTATTTCTGGTTAGACGTGTAATGGGGCCAAAACTTTCTATATAATTCTACAAAGGTGATTTGTGTTTCTAATTAATATTCATTACTGTGTGATTATTGTAAAATAATTCAGTTCAACAGCTGTACAGAACACCACAATATAGGATGCTGTCTAACCAAGGCAATGACCTCACCACTAAGGTTTTTCTGGTGTTACTTTAATGTGACTATAATAACATGAGAAGACCCAGCCTGGCTTTAAGACTAACTTGTTTTTTTTGTTGAGTGTGATGGTTGAGGAGAGAAACACATTGATGAAGGCATCCAGGTGCTGCCCACGCTCCTTCATCAGTTTGCGCGGTACGTCACGTATTAGGCGGCCGATAGACACGTCAGGTAAGTAAGTGTTGGTGAACTCATCCTTGGTTTTCAGAAACAAGAATAATAGTTGGGAGCCTTTCAGTGCTGGCTTCTGTAGTAGCTTCTGCAGGAATTCCTCAAATAGCTGAAACCATGAAATTATTCTGTAATTACAATAAAACTTCCAACAAAATATTGAGCGAATATCATTTCTCTCCTACCCTCATCCGGAACAGATTTTTCTCTAATTAACAAACACCATCTGTAGACAGGTCTTACCCTTTTGAGTCCTGTTGGCTTAAATCATCATCCTCAAAGGGTTAAGCTCCTCCATACAGTATCTCTCAAATATCATCATTCCTCCTGCAAGTCGAAGAAGTTGGTGTATAGTTTACCTGTCTACGTGTCTGCATAAAGCCAATGTCTTTTGATGTGAAGAGTGAACGTCGCGGAGGCAACTGATTATCTTGAAAATCTCCGTGAAATTCTGTCAGTTTATTCTCCAAGATATAAAATTCGTGGTACCTTCTCTCCACCTCCCAGTGCACCTCCTCCGGCAGTTCAGCTTCAAGATGATAAACATAAGAGATATTTCAGCACTCAACGGTCAAATATCTGTTACTGACAAATCGGTTTCACTGTACAGCATTGATGGAATAATTCATAACACTACCAAATTGTGTATTAGATGAATGTTTTATAATAATAATAACTACAACAATAATAATAATACCTCCTGTTACATCAATCCTAGTGACGTCGACAATAAAAGCATAATAAGGCTTGTTGGTGTGGTCGACGCGCTGCTCTATGCGGGGAATACTCACCCTCCACGCACTCAAGTCACGGAAACTCGAGGTGAGGCCTTCCAGACTACTGACTGACTGGGACATGCCACCCACCTCATCAGCCTGTCACAATAACCATACACATTACATTCCAATACAGTATTAAATTACAATACAAATAACATTACCACCCCAAGTACTATATAAACTTTATAATAATGTACATTTTATTACAATTATTCGATCAAACATGTTATATGCACTTCAAAATAATGTACAGTACAGTTTGCTACAATTATAAGATCAAACATTATGGTAATTAACAGAAATACAGTAAAAATTTATTAACAAATTACTGACAATCTTTACTTCAAGAAATATAAAACTTTAAGTGCAAATACATTACCTGAATTAATTAAGCAAAAGCTAAATAATATTAAAGGCAGCCAAACGACACACTTTACTAACTACCTACTACAGAAGCAGTGTAAAGGAGCTGATAAAGCCACACAGTTGTGCTCTAACCTTAACATACTGTACTGTATATACCATACCTTTGTTTACATGAAGCTGTAACAGATATCTCACTTGATAACGTTACATAATAAAGACGTACTAACCAAAACATCTCACTTAATAACGAAGTCCTAACCAAAATACCTCGCATAAAGAATGAAGTCGTACTAACCAATAATATAGATATGTCATCGGCTTCGTCAATACTACAGAGGTCGTGGTTGTCCTCACCCATCACAACCGAAGGCCTCAGCACCATCTGTTTGCCGATGTGTTTTAGACCACTACCCACCTTCTTGGCTACTACCTTACCTACGTTCTTCCTGGGATGAGGATCAACCTCCCTAAAAACAGGTGCAAAGATAATTTACTACTTAATAAAAAAAAATTAAAATAAATATCTAAATCAACAAAAACATAAATCAGATTTTCTTTCAAGTCTCTTTGGATGATAAAAATGGTGTTATGTTTTGTGTCTTGTTACTGGTTCTTAGTCAGAGGTTCAGTGTACTGTATATACGTTTTACCAGTTACACAACACCCAAAGCTTGAGTATAGGAAGAAAGTCTGATGCTGTATAAAACTAAACAAAATCTTACAAAAACGGTTAATGACAGAGGGAGATGTGTGCCTCTAATACTGTACTGCCTAAATTTACTTATACTTGGGGATTAACTTAAAAAACAATAGAAAAAAAACAGCAAAACATAACACAGTATAAGGACTACAGAAAAAATAAAAGCAATGCTGTGTGTCTCTTCCATACTCGTGGCAGGATGTAAAATTAAGTTGTAGTCCTTTAAATATATATAAATAATTACTAAATAAAAGAAAAATGAAAGAAATAAAAAGAGAATGAATGGAAACAAAGAATCTTACCCACATTACCAGCAGAAGACTGTCATGGACTTTACATGCCAAGCTTAATATGGTGCAAGCTATGTGACTTGTCAACCATGGTGTATTTAATGTACCTTACATGCCAAGCTTAACAGAGTGCAAGCCATGTGATCTTAACACCCTGGTGTAATTATAACAAGCATATTATCAACTGTGATGGAACATGGTGTAAACTTAACAACTAATGGCAATGTTGATGTCTTCATTCATACAGACACAACACCTCCCTGACTCACCTAGTGTTTACATGGAGGTGATGAGGATGCATTTAATAATCCTAACTTCCTTATTAATAATAGATCTTGGATCAACTTACAGTAAATACAAAATGTAACCTGTACAATATATGAGTAATTCATGCAACACTCAGCTTACTGTATGTACCTTCACATCCTAACACAAGTCATATACTGTACGGTGCTTCAATAACATTACATCAGTGATCAGTTCACCTCAAGAGCCATGGCTCTGCTGTGTTGAAGATTAACTCTTATCAAAATATATATAAATGATCCATAAATATGCGTTGACCAGGCCCCACCTAGACACTACCAATTCTAGCCTGAATACATTGATATTAGTTTCAGTTCTTGTGTTTACCACCTGTGGCTGGATCAGCAGACAGGTGCATGAACATACAGGAGGCAAGAATTTGTTCCTCCCTCACCAAAGATGATGCAGAACATAACTCTATAATGTTAATACCACACCAGTTCTCAAATTCTTTAGGAAACAAGACAAATTTCCACGAAAACTGTTATACGTTCCATGACTGACGACTGACTTTTATAAAACAAAATTTGCAATTATGAAAAACATTAGATAAAGTACATGCAGTAATACAACTAACAGCCAATGTGTATGAACAGCCAGTGCATATGAAAAGACAGTGTGTATGAACAACCAGTGTGTATTAACAACCAGTGTGTATGAACAGCCAGTGTGTATTAAGAGACAGTATGTAAGAACAACCAGTGTGTATGAGCTTCCAACAGTGCAGAACTAATTAAGAACATTGTACCAAATCCAAGTAAAATTATCACAATATTATCAAAGTATACATGACCACTTAAGACCCTCATCCCAATAGTTAAAGTGTGAGGCATGTAAAGGGACTTATGCTTGTGACTGAACACTACGGTGCCTTCATAACAAAGCTGAACACTGCTGGATGCGTGTAGATATATATATGTGGTAAACTTAAAGATCTCCATTACACAGAAGCCTTCAAGGAGTGACCTTACTGAATATTTGACATACTACTGAACACAATGCGATGTTTTGATATGTTTGAACCACAACCTTCCAGTAGAGTGAATGAATCATAATACTAATGATAATAATACTGTTTAAAAATCATTTAACTGTAGTATAACAATTATATGACTATAACACATGATTCATACAACCACAGAAGCTTAATTACTTAAATCATACAAATACAGCATTACCATTACAGTATATGCTTAGAGTTTATAAATAATACAACTACAGGTATACAGAAGAAGCATTACTGTATGAATCACACAACAGTATACCTATGCATCACACACCTATAGTTTAAGAATCATACAAGCAGCATATCAGTGAAAGTTTAAACTAATAAAACAATCATAGAGATAAAGTGAGAGAGAGACAGACAGACAGAAAGAGCCTCCACATTGCAATGGGTGTGTGGAGAAGCCCAGCACCTGTGCTTTGCTAATGCGGCTCTTGAACGGAGAAAAAGTCGCCGAGGAACTGGAATCTGTTCTGCGATGTCTGAAGAGGAAGTTGATGTTGGTGAGGAGGGAGTGACAATGGATTAAAATATACTACAATAAAATAATCTTTCATGAAATATACCCCCCCCTCCCTATCTTTTAAGGAATTATTTAAAGGTGACCAATTAAAAGAGGTCATTTTACTAAGACCTACAGGTGCTTGTAACGGGAGAATACAGTAAATACCACTCAACACCTGGGACCCCCATCACTGTGAGTTTTATAGCAACAAACACTAGATATAATATATATATATATATATATATATATATATATATATATATATATATATATATATATATATATATATATATATATATATATATATATATATATATATATATATATATATATATATACATACATACATACATATTGGCTTCATTCTGGCACTAGTTATAAGTCCTCTGCATAACTTAATCCTAATTACTGTACAGTATATGTATGAGTGTATTATAATCTGAAAGGTGGTTAATAAGATGATGTATATCTGTCTATTATGACTGACTGTACTATCATTATTCATTTACCACTTGTGTGTGGGCTGGATCAAGGGCAGACAAACTTTGAAGAAATTGAGGAAATGGTGAGATAAAGTGTTGCAAGACAAGTGTATAAAATAAGTGGAAAGCTCTGAAACAACAAATATAAATAACACACAGACACACACACACACCTGTGGACCTAAATATCAGTGTCATGCCAACTTAAACATGTACAGTCCAGGCCACTTAAAAACCACACAGACTGGCGGCCTCGAGATTCCTAACCAGAAAACTTCACTGGGTCCATCCCTCTCTCACCTCCCTAAACATACAAACCAGGTAATTAATTGCTGGTCAGCCAAGGTGTATAGTTAATGCTTACCCCAAACACAGCTAATATGGATAAATAACTTTAAAACTGTATTTTTTCTTTCTTTCTAAAACCTATCCATACTAATGTGTTCAGGTGTAAGCAGCGACTTTACACCTTGGCTGACCACCGATCAATTGCCCACTTGAGAGGATCAAAGTGGACACGATATTGATTTTTTCAAGCTCGTGCACAATCTTCACATCATTCAAGGTGCCATCCATTTGTCTGAGGGTTGGCGACCATGGGCCTCCACTTCAAGAATTTTTGGAGCGGTCTTCACCCATCCTCCCTGATTTTGCATCTCTCTGGGGGCCATAACTATTAATTTCATTAATTCAGGATCTAAAACGCAGGACCAAGCCAACTCAGACCTCCTGATATGACTCTTTTAACACTCCAGAAGCAACAGTTTACTGAGGTAGATGACATCACATAACACAAATCAAGACATATCTGATGTCTCCAACCAGCTGACTTGTCAACCGCCCTCCACCCACTTCTGACATCCTTACTAGCTAGTGATTGACTGGTGGTCGTTAGGGGGAATCACGCTGCCACTCACTCAACAACCACCGACCACATAACTACCGTACTATATATGCTAGGTCAACCAATAAAGTCAAATAAGAAAAAACAATTGTCCTTATGGCGACTCTCCTGTTATAATCAAGTCTCCAATAACACTGGGAAGCTTGTGAGAGCCAATAGGCAACTAAATATCTCTAAATGATGGGCAAAACTGAGAGGCAACAGAGATCAAATAACAAACACTAAAGAAAATATAATAACTAATGTTTATGACCAATTAGTAATGTATACGACCAATTAGTAATGTATACGACCATTTAGTAATGTATACGACCAATTAGTAATGTTTATGACCAATTAGTAAACCAACTAAGAAAAACACAACTCATTAGGACTAAAACTGACGACTGTTACTGTACAAGAGTGTAATATACCTGCTTATTCCTGGTGAGCTGCCAATTAGAGAGAAAATTTGTAACACAATTTTATAATAACAGTTGAATATAAATCAAAATTTTTGTAGTTCTTAAATTTAAACGGTTGCTAAGGACCCAAGTGTGGCTCTCGATATACTTTTACTAGAGTTCCGGTATGACATGAGTCTGTACGGTGTGATCACTCCCGACAAAAGACACCAATGCGGGTATGAGAAAGTCTGTACGGTACTAAGTGATCATCCATGACCACAGACACCAACGTACCACACCTAAGTTATTAAATAAGTCGCGGTTATCTTAGGTTTGTATTCAAGATCACAAGCTACAATTCATGATACTGTGTAGACTGTATGCTGGCCAAGTCAACCTTAAGCATGAGATGGCTATTTTATTTTGTACATATACCAAGACATACTCATCAGTACCCTAGTGAGAATATCCTGAGAGCTGGGTGGGGTCTGTAGCAGCTTCCTGTGTTTTGGGGTAATAATATATATTTTTAATACTAGTACTGCGTAACAAATCAATGATCCTTTTTATTTTCTTGGTCAAGTAATAAAATAAATAATAAAATTAATAAAGGTCACAGCAAACTCGTATTATAGTACACTGAACAACAGACACGATAACGCATACAACTACACTCAACTAAAGACTTAATAATAATCATTAACATAAATTAAATGATAAAGATCGTATATAAAGCATGTAAAACTTCATGCCCACAAAGTACAGTCAGGGGGAAAAAAAGTGACGTATATAAACCCCGAGATTCGTGAACCAGTGAACCCGAGACCTCACACATTAATGGGCCCATAGATGGTGCACTGTGTGATGTCTCGGATTCACAGGTTCAAGAGTTTCAGGATTTACGGACGAGACGAAGGACAGGCAGGAGTCTTTTCCACGACTGTACATGACACCCTTCCATTCCCTTATTATTTGGTTGAGGAATATGTGTTTTGGTTATGTGAGAGCAGCAGATGACACAAGTTTTTAATGACACATGTGACAAGACAGAGGATGACTCATGTACACAAAATGAAGAAAAAACTTTTAAAAAGATCAGAGAAAAAGATTCATGTAGTGAAATGTAACCAGACAATAAATGATAAGATGGTGTTGGTCCTGTCAAAATTTCCCAAGTGTAAGAGATATATCAAACATCATGTGGTGGACAGTATGAACCTCTAAGAGTTAACGTATGACAGGACTATTCTCTTGCTGCCTCTCACCTTGTTCTGTCTACGGCACTTACAGACACTGGCTATCTTACCTACATCTTACAAAAGCATTGACTATCTTATACAAACACTGGCTATCTTACACAAACACTGACTAGCTTATCTATATCTAAAGTAAAATTTCTACATCTAGCAAAAGTGGCAAATTAACTAAATTCTTGAAACATTATAGGTTTAATTCCGAGAGCATTTTAGGTTGACAATCACAAAAGGGAAATGGCCACTAAATACTAACTACAAAAATGTTAAAAATAGTAGTATAACCTCTTAAGACAAATGCCAGAGGGAATATTTGAGACTGTAATAATCGTTAAATGAAGAATTCCTCACATTGCTTCTTTCTCGTAACATACCACAAACTCGCGCTATTTCCCTTACTGTGATCTTAGTGCAGGTCATTAACATGGCTGGTGGCTAAATCACACCACACTATGACCAAACATCCACAGCACTGCCAACTGTACCCAACAAATTCTAAACAATATACACAACTCATCAACACTACTTATGACACTTATCCCCAACACAACAAACTCTCCGATAAATGGATAAATGAGGACAATTAATATAAGCAACATGGAGAATAATAATAGTATAAATGAACTCCCAGGAAGATGAATAGTGACATACATACCTAGATGCATTTTTCTGGTATCCTTGAGAGCTTCTTGTTCCACACAGGTGAGCAAAATACTGCAACAACAACATGAATTAGTTTCTGGATAAAAAAAAAATTCAATTTTTTTTTATCCTGTTTCTATTTTTTGCATTCAGCTTAAATCTCATTCCCTGAGCTTAAAATTAAATCCTATCTGTTTCTCTCATTCTCTCAGCTTAAAATCAAATCCTACGCTTGAAGAAGAACTCATAAGTTATTTTATTTTTATATCAGGTTACTAAGTTTTAAAATGGGTTAGGTAATGAATATCTGGTGTACTGTTAATGTTTAAGGGGAAAAATGAGAAGAAGGAGAGGAGGAGGAAGAAGATTGAGGAGATGAAGAAGTAAGAAGAAAAGAAAAAGATGGAGATGATAAAGAAGAGTGAGGAAGAGGAAGATGAAGAAGAAAAGAAGGAAAAGAAGAGGAAGAAGAGAGACTCACTGAATGACTATGCATGAAGAGTGGCAAGTACTCCCGCTCCAACAAGTTGTACGCGTGTTCATAGGCTTGGAACAGAGGACGAGTGGTACGCAACTTGACAATGTCCTTCACCTCACCGTGCACGACTGAAATAAAACCAAAATTTAGTAAACTGAAGTTCCTCCGATTAACTACCTGTGTATGGGGTCTCCCACTCCGCTGAATAAAATCGTCTGGCGTTAGGGGAAAAATAAATAAAAAAAATGGCGTCCCTGTGGAGTATTACACCATTAAAAAAAATTTCAAACAAAAAGAATAACAATTAAGTACGATGCCTGAATAAAATTTTTCATAAGCATAAAACTTGAATAATTTATTTATGTAATGTGAAATATTATAAAATGAACTTATAATGAATTGAAAATCAGTCTGTAAGATCAGAAACAACACAACTCACTCTCTCTAATGTGAGAAACGATGTGTGAGGGGAAGTTGATGCGATCCACGGCCGAGGACACCATGTAGGTATGATAGAGTTCCAGAGCTTCGTGGTGGAGCTGTTCCAGTTGTTCAGAAGTCAGGTCAGGGTCCAGGATGTGACGGTTGAAGTCCTCTGTTGGGGAGACAATACCCAGGTAACACCACCTACCACAAACACTAACCTACCCAAACAATGATGTGTATACAGTAAGTGGCCAAAGATGTGTATACAGTAAGTGGCCAAAGATGTGTATACAGTAAGTGGCCATACATCACTGGATATAACCATAATTTACCAAAAACAAGATAAATAAGATGTATAGAACAAGGGGAATTAAAAACCCCAAAACAGGAGAGAAATATAAGGGAGAAAGGTGCAAGATAAGTGTAGAAAATCCTAAGATATGGCGAAGACAACAAGTAGAAACATCTGATGACATTTAGTTTTATCCACAACTTGTAATACGGTGCACAGTCCTTACAACTTATCTTTAAACCAGTATATAATGATAAACAAAGGAAATTCGTAAAAGAAAAGGTCAAACTATAAGAGACTTGGATGTAGAGCGGTAGTATGAGCAAATAGCTTGATAATTATTGTAAGGCTCTCACTATACACGTTCTCTCACTACATGCTTCTCTCACACTCTCACTACATACTTTCTCTCTCTCTCACTATACACGTTCTCTCACTACATGCTTTCTCTCACACTCTCACTACACACTTTCTCTCACTCTCACTATACACGTTCTCTCACTACATGCTTTCTCTCACACTCTCACTACACACTTTCTCTCACTCTCACTATACACGTTCTCTCACTACATGCTTTCTCTCACACTCTCACTACACACTTTCTCTCACTCCCTTACTACTTTCTCTCTACTGTACCACCTACCAACAGCAAGACAGAATTGGAGGTTGTTGATGGCTCCTTCCTCCTTCAGGAAAGTGTGGAACAAGTACAGTAAACTCTGATCCTTCAACACTGACGACAAGTTGCTTCTCAGGACCTTTCAAAACAATACAATCCCATTAGAAGAATCTAATCCCATATAATTTAATGAATACAGTGATATAAATAGAATCTGAGCCTATGGGCCTGTGAAGTAAATAGTTACATTAAAAGAATCTGATCCCATGAACCATTTAGACCAACAAATATATATAGAGTATTTAATCCTCAAAATACATAAAGAGGAAGAATTTGACCTTTTACATGGCTAACCCTACCATGCCACAGCTAACTATTATTATGTTTATCATCAAGAAAAACATTAAAGTAACTAAGTAGTATAAGAAAGTTAATCTAAAAATCATACAATTTATCCCTATTAGAACTCTATAACAGAAATGGGATCTCATGAAAATTAGGAACCCCAAGTTATGATTAAATAAACACCTTAATACTAAATGAGGGGGTTAGGGTATATTAGGTTAGGTTAAGTTGAATTAGGTCAAGTTAGGGTATTTTAGGTTAGGTTAGGTTTAGTTTGATTAGATTATATTATGTTCATTTTTGTTAGGTTAGGTTTGCATTAAGGTGTAAAATCATCTGGCAAAAATAAAATGAAGTTCCTGATTTTCAAGATAAGATTCCATAAAAAACATCAAAATTCTGACAAACACTGATGATAACCTGAGAGAGAGAGAGAGAGAGAGAGAGAAAGGGAGAGAGAGAGAAAGGGAGAGAGAGAGAGAGAAAGGGAGAGAGAGAGAGATATCGCTAAACCCCTTACTGAGTTACGTGGATGTGTGTTGACGGAGGCGAAATTCTTAAGCAGCAGGACCTCTGGCTCGGGCTTGTGAGGTAACCAAGGCGATGAATCTCGACTCAGAAGGAGGAGGAAGAGAAGGTTGAGTGTGTCGGGGTTGGCTAAGAGATCCAAAGCCTGAAGTAATAAGACTCTACCTAACAGCTCCTCTAAAAAAGCACGTCCCAACCTGCAGGGACACAAGTGTTCTCTTAATATAGCCATAACAAAAGTTTTCAATAAGTAACCATAAAGAAAAGAAAAAAAATCACTATCTACAAACAAAAGTTGTCTCAATATCCTTAATAATAATAATAACACCATAATAATAATTTCTTGATATACACAAAATAATATTTCAGTATGTGGCACAGTCAACACTTGCATGAGTTCTCTTAAAAGGAAGGAAGGGTGGAGGGAGGGAAGGAAGGATGGAGGGAGAGAGGGAAGGAAGGAGAGAGAGCGGGAAGGAAGGAAGGAAGGAGAGAGGGAAAGAAGGAGGGAGGGAGGGAGAGAGGGAAGGAAGGAGGGAAGGAAGGAAGGACCATTTATACAGTACAGTATATGATCTAACATCTGGTAGCCAACATTCTGTACTGAACCCCTTCACTACAGGGACGCTACTTTTAATATTATATTCGCTTAATGTTTCTCTCAATAACTCACGGGGACAGTCAACTCCCTATAATCCATACGCTGTACAAACTAACCTGCTAGACTGGTACTTGGTGGGCAGAAGTGACGGAACAACAGTGCCAATAAGACCTCTCAGGTAAGCCGTTTCATCCTCACGTGACCTGACCGCCCGGTGCAGCCCGCCTCCCGCTCTCAGGTACTGAATAACTGCCGCTTCTGAAGAAATATTACCGCGAACTCTCCGGCTGCCCTCGACGTATGCATCCAGGTGGTTTATTAGCGCCGGTAGTAAGCGGTCGATGATCACTGTTGTTAAGTCGACCTGGAAGAGAGTGAACTGTTAAATGCATGTCAGGAGTAACTGTTAACTTCATCTCAGGAATAAATGTTAAATGCATGTGAGGAGTAACTGTTTAATGGCACATGTCAGATTACAAGTCTCTCTAATGTTCAAAGCAATTAAAACATAATAGAGTTTTTAAAATGTTTCCTCTCAAGTAATAATTGTAGTGTCAAAAATGGCTGGGAGTTTGAGGGCTAAAACACTCACTAGAACTACATAGTGTATAGGAAGGCATTTTATACATGAAGCAGAGAACACAGTACCTTTGCCAGTTTACTAGCCACGACCGCCACAGCATATCTGATGATGTAACGGATTTCATCTGCCAGCTGTTCGTGGATGGAGATTTCTCTGTACCAGCTGTACACATGGTGGTCCAGGGCTAAGTTTAACAGCTGTGGGAAGGAAGAAAATAATGACTAAATATCACCCTTCGTGTACAGTACCTGGTGAAATAACTACCATTAATACCTCTTCCATATAACCTCCTTGACCATTACCAGAGGAAACACAGTACAATATATACAGTACTGTAGTCTCAGGGCTGCTACAGTACACTACACATAACCTTCTCTCTCATTTAAATCAGAGGACAATTTTAGCAATTTTATTATTCCAGAAAATTTGACTTTAAAAATTCTTGATACTGTAATGGGTGATTTTCTTTAAGGCATTCTATTTTTAAATTATACACTATGCTGTCAACTAGATGATTAATGCAGCCCATCTCTAAATGTACAGCACGTGGCATCAAATTATCACATCATTTTAACAGGGAGAAATAAACAGGTCGTAAACTATGCGTCAGCAACTCATCACTCGCCTCCTCTAAAGCTTCGTCAATGCTCTGCGGTACGGTGAAGTTGACGTGCGTGTGGGCAGATATCTGTAACGACGTGGTCGGGTGTTGACGCTGACATCGCTCTCCGCCGCACACCGAGCACGACCGCGGTATCTCCCCTTTCGTGTCGGGGTTTTCTGTCCCGGTGAATACTGCTAGGAGGTTGGGGACTTGTCTGCCGTCACTGAAAGATAATGTACAATTAAACCTCCATACAGTAGACTGTATGTATATAGGAGAGGGTAGTCCCTGATATTGCAGTCATTAAATTTACTCATTTTTATATGAACTGGCATGTATTTTACTAATTTTTACTTCAATTGGCATTTATTTTACTCAATTATTGTATAAATCTTACTCATCCTGACGAGCTCTATACAGTACTAACCTGATAACTTACTGTAGTATAAAATAGCTAAATAGGAAGATGAGGTCTATTTTGTATCCTATTGCAATATGACACTGTGAAGATCAACTAGCTACTGTACCATAACACCATCTTTATTTATTTCCTATATTTTTTCTCCAACACAGGTGAATCTAACTTTAACCAAGTGGACGGTAGGCTAGGTAGAGTCACTCACCCTCCCAAGTCCGTCACACAAGTAGATGATTGGAGTTTCTGAGATTTGATACAGTATACAACCTAATGCTATCTGGATGGCATAGGTTAGGTTTAGATTAAGTTAGGTCACTTTAGTTTAGAATTTATTATTTTAAGTTAGATTAGATTTGGTTATACTGTATTAGGTAAGTTAAGTTAAGTTAGGTAAGGCAAGATTATGTTATATTAGTTTATATTAGCTTAACTTTTACGTGATTTAAGATGAAATAATCTAGGGTGTCTAATCTTCACATGATCCCAGTACCTCGTCAAACAACGGTCATTATAAACACTCAATAAACTCACCGAAAAATTATAAAAGGCAGAAGGAGCCCGGTAAGAAGCGAGAAGACCAGCAAAACTCCCACTAACACACTGTAAAGCAAACAATATGTCAGTCAATTATCCTTTTACCAACAACAGTAATATAAGTTGAATCATTTGTACACTTTTAAGATAATGTCACTGAATATCTAACGAAATATATTTATCTACTGGTATCTAAATGTGTGTGTGTGTGTGTGTGTGTGTGTATGTGTGTATGTGTGGTCGGTATATTCGCCTCACAAACTCATAGTCTCAGGTTTGTTTCCCCGGGCATTGGGTAGAGTGACACTATGGGCAAGTTTCTTTACCCGGTACACCATTTGACTCCGGATATTAATTAATTTACTGATTGTGTTCCCGGGTAATGGTTAGTCAGTGGGGTTGGTGATGTGTTCGGTCTCCTGGGATTATTCCTCGACACCGGGCCATACAGCTCGTTCCCTTAGGGTGTGAGTGTTGTGGTGACAGCTTCTACACATTAAACAAATTTATGCCTGTGGCTCTTGGACCAGCTATCCTTGAACATGAAGAGGAACCATTATGTGTACAGTATGTGTGTATATATATGTAATTTATGTATGTACAGTATATGTATGTGTGTAGTACTGACGCTTTTAGATGTTTAACTATGTACTGGTATGTGTGTGTAGAAGTGTAAATACAGTATGCAAGTATATATGTAAAATAAGAGTGTGCGTGACAGTGTAAGTATTAGTGTGGTGTACATGTACGTCGGTACGTCTAGGTGTACATAATAGACGTACACAGGACAACACTCCCCCTCCCACCTCCTTTCATTTCTATCACACAACAAGCGGCAGTAATTCTCACCTAATGGAAGCAGATATGATGATACTAATTAAGAGCACTACCAGGAACAGTATTATAACGTTTCTGTCTCGTAAAAGATACGAGAACCTGACATTTTCCACCTCCATCGTCTGTCATTATTTACACTGAGTCTTACTGAACACCGAAACCTCCATAAATGACGTAACAATACCAACTACCTAATTCAACATTGTTTTGCGAGTTTTGGAAGTACAATTTTTACTTCTGTTTATATTATTATAGTGAAAATTAAGGTTTTATATTATTACTGAAGGAATAGGGAGAAAATACAATATTCAAGACAAATTATAACAACTACTTTTATCTGCAATAAATATTGCTCATATATTTTTATATTTCGGAAATATAAATAAAAAAAGGACTTCATACAAAATCTTATGTAATATACACAAACAACAACTGTCTTCAAAACATATTTATATATATTAATTTAGGCTCTTCCTGCTGGTTTTTGCATTTCAGAAAGTTTGTCCCTTTTTGGTCGCTTACTGTCCTAATCGAAGCCTCGGGTCTCGTGAAATTAATGTTATATAAAAGGTAACGAACAGGATTGCGAACTCATTTATTTATTCATACAACACAAATGACAATAAACTAAATAATAATCACACTAGAGTCGTTATTTTAGGTTTGATTTGTCTTATTTGCTCTCAGAAAATAAATTTAAAAGAAATTCAAATACATAAATAAGTTTAAGAGCTTATTGTCGTTGTAAATTTTCTACATTGGCCGTTTGTGAACGATACACATCATGCGGATTATACCGGATACAGATAATGGCACACTTTGTTCAGATATGCATACATATGTTCAGCTTTCCTGTACAAAATAAGTCAAGTATTAATCATGTCATTACAGAATATTATCTAGGTATGATTAAAAATTTATCTATAACCTACTGGGCGTTTATTCATGAGCGTTCTTGCAATGGCATGCACTCCACATCATCAGTTAAGAGGGATCACATGAAGATTAGCCACCCAGCCCATTTTACCTTAAGACTAATAACCTTAATTTTAACAGAATCTAATCCTCCCAGAATCCCAGATATCGTTAAGGTGTTCAATCCTAAGGTGAAATAAGCTGCGGGGGCTAATCTTCAGGTGATCCCTCTTAACTGATGATGTGGAGTGCATCTAAATGTTTGACTTCACCTAAAACAAATATATTTCATATAATAGCAGCCATATAACAATAAAACTCCTACTTAACTAGAGTATATTCATTTGGCCCTGTTAGTTGACAAAATTAAAGTGAAGAATCTATCCCCTAAAAGATTATCTAAGTTAAATTGATCTGGTGCTTAGATAGTTCCAATGTTATTTTGATGTTACTCTTTTACATAATCATTAACTACAACTGAATAATAGATACAAGTAACTTTGACTTACCATCCTGTGAGTTGGTGTTAGGAAGGTCATCCAGTCATATAACTTTCCTTCAACGTGCCTGCTAGCAGTTGGGTCACTAGTGTTGTGCCTGATCCCTAATCCTTGCTACAATATCTGGCCAGCACAACAGTACCTAAGTTTGTGGTAGCGATGTCCCATTCTGGTTTAACCCAACAGCTACCATCAGGTAATCGTGGCTAACCTATGCAAGTGTGGAAAATGATCATTAAACATTATTGATGATGATTTTAGGAACTTCTACTACACTACAGACGGCCACAAGGTAAAATTTAGGTAAAATGTGTTAAGATGATCTGGTGTTCATGGTTTCTGTACTGTGAATCATTAACACAACAAACATACAGTACAAAGACTCAGATCAGTTTAGTTACGTCTCCAGGCTAAATACGTTTATTAATATTTTCTTCCCATTACTAAATAAATGATGATATTTGACTCATGAACTTAGTCCAGATATAAATAGAATCTAGTACTAGTGACCGTCTCAACATGAAAATACAGTACAGTTCTCTCATTATTTCTTATAATCATGTGCAATTTTCTCCTACGATACCTCTAGTGGCCATGAGGAAGAACATACAATTTCTTTTTATTTTCTATCCTTCATTAACTCTCATGAACCACTTAGCAACCATGAAACATATACCAATTCTGTTCCTAAGACCATATTACAGTATACTTCCTAAGACTTCTATTATTTTTACACTTCTCAATTTTATGGGTCAAAGAAACACAAAATAAATAAAGAAAAAGATATGGCAGTGATACAATGTTATATACATCAAAGAAATACTAATACAGACACAACTACACCTATTATTCACTCATACACTCAATAGGTAAAATAAAAAAAGCAATTCACTCATTATTCATTTATTTTCATAACATCATCTGGTGACAGGACATAAAGATGCATCACTGGTTGTATACATATAAGAACTAATATATCAATAACTATCTCTCACATACTATTGTACTTAGTGTGTATAGGGTCAACCACAAGAAGCATCTACTGTAATGTTATAAAATTGGTGATTGATGTAATTTTTTTTTGGGTAGGTGGGTTGATGTAATCTTTTCGTGTCTTCTCAGATCTTGAGCTTTACATCATTTTAGCTTTATCTTGTGTTCCTCACTTCTTCCTCCCTTTACCCCCAGCTTTACTTCTCCCTTGACCACCACCACCACCAGCTTTACCTCTTCCTTGACCACCACCACCAGCTTTACCTCTTCCTTGACCACCACCACCACCAGCTTTACCTCTCCCTCCTCCCAGCCCACCAGCCTTACCCTTACCACCACCACCAGCCTTAGCAGCAGCAGCACCACCACCACCACCTCCCTTCTTCTTTAGCTTAGGGTTCATCATGCCTTTGCCTAACTTAACACCTCTGTGGTCTGACTTGGTTCTGTGTCGGCCGCCCATCTTCGACCTTCTGCGGAACTTCTTGCCGCCCTTACGCATGAGGTCCATTCTGAGAGGATTAAAGTCACGGTTAATGTCTGGCCATATATACTACTTGCAACCTCTATATTCAGAACAGGAAGCCGTATAACGTATCTAATTTCAATCCATCGACCTTTTCTCAAGTTGGTGGGTGGTGAGAAACATTACATGGATGGACAAACAGATGTAGAGGAGAGACATAATACCCCCCCCCCCTCCATCTATATACTAAGGGAGGGGCATAAAAATAATACAGTAATAGATAAAGATAAATATAAATACTTACTCGACGTTTTCAGCGCTGATCTGTTTGTGGATGGCACCTTCAAGATTCAGGTCCGGCTTCTCCATTTTGTCGAGGACCTCCATGTAGCGTTTCTTCTCGGCCTGTCCGTCACCCGTCGTCTGTTCCTGTTTACGCTTCTTACCCAAACCTTTAGTCTTCTTCTCGTCGGGAAGATTTGGTTGGAACTTGCCCATGGAAGCTGTTGCGTGTCGTGCATAGTGCATGGCTAACCCAAGCTGAAATATTTTGTGGAAATGTGAATAAATGTGACTTTTCAAACCTAATGCATGTACAGGAGTTAGGGTGAAGTGAACACCATCAATTCTTAGTAACACACACACACACACAATAACTGAGATCTACAACAGTCATCAACTTTCTCTTTCTTTAATTTCACCATCTCATAACATTTTCTCTTCCTTAATTAAAATGCTTTACCTATTTATAACAGTTACCTATCTTCCCATTCATCAAAACCCACTCACTCCCTCTCCCCAGCTCTCACATTATAACAACCACACTTGCAAAACCTAATAACAACCCTACTCACAAAACAACCTAATGACAACCCAACTTACGTCTTTGGTTGAGGCGTATTCGTTACCGGTGACGCCCACGTTGGGAACCTTCACCTTCTGACTCTTGGCAATGTTTCTCAATCGCTGGAATTCGTTCTTGGCGATATTTTCCTTCTTCATCTCCGCGACCTTGGCAAACTGGTCCTCGAATGGGTCTCCGTGATCGGGCACTTCCTTCACCCAGTTCTTCTCCTTCTCCGCTTGTATTTTACGATAGCCATACCTGGGTACCCATCGCTGTCGGGGTAAAACATAAAACATTAACAAACTTCCAATGACTCTGTGGAGAACATTACCACTTAGATCACCTAGATTTCCCTCCCTAGATTATTTCACCTGAATATTAACCCCACGTGTATGGAGGTCCCATCTGTGTTGAATAAAATCATCAGGAGTTAGTGTTAAGAAACATTAAAGCTGGTGTCCCCATTGTGAAGATGTTAGGTAGATATGGCAAGAAATATTCCATCTCTAAGGTACAGTCTCGTTCAAGATTCTTCGAACACTGCTGTAGACAGCTGGCAACTCAAGGCAGTTTGTTTACTATAGTACGCAGTATAATATAATACGAAACAACAAAACCCAACCATTAAATTAAGCAACGGGGAACGAAGTAACCAATCACCGATCACTTTTACATTTCTTCATAATTTTTACTACGTACTATAGTAAACAAACGGCTTTGAGTTGCCAGCTGTCTCCCGCAGTGTTCGAAGAATCTTGAACGAGACTTTTATTATTTTTTTTACGGGTATTAGCCCACCCGGACACAGGTCATCGACCCACATCAGGGCCCGGGGGGCGAAAACGTAATAACAATAATAATAATAATAATAATAATAATAATAATAATAATAATAATAATAATAATAATAATTCAGATAAGTAAAATTTTAATAAAAAAATACAAAAATAAAAATAAAATAATAATGATAACAATAATAATAATGAAAACACTGCAATAATAATAATAATAGGGAACCATAAAGAAATTTAAAAAAAAGATCATTAGTGAGAAACGATATATGTATGTTGTGTTGTCAATAGCAAGAGAAACAATTGAGACCCCCATAATTGTGTGTAAATGAGGCAGAGAGTCAGATCAGCAACCTGGGACTTGGTCACAATTTTTGCAATGCCATATAGCAGCAGGGTCTACCATTAGGCAACACATTATACTTCCAATATCTTCCCAGGCGGTAGTACCTCCCTGTTTGGTAGCTGCCTACTACCTACTGTACAACCACTCACAGAATATAATGTAGGATTATAAAGTAGAACTACACATTATGGAGAGAAATAATGTAGAAGGAGAGGTGGATAAGACAGGATGTATATAGGGACAGTTCATCCAGCAGCCCCCTCCAAGAGATGTGTGTGAGAGAGAGAGAGTACAGTACCTTAAGAACATCATCCCACATTTTCTTGTCCTTCTTCCTGCGCTGTATACCTTTATCTCGGGCGTACTGTTCCCATTTTGTTATTTGTCTACCCTTTGGTGCGGGTTTTTCTCTGGGTAATCTGCCGGAATAAAATAAAGTCAGTTATATACAGAACAGTACAATACACATATAACAGTACAGTACATACACCTCTACATGAATAACACCAAGCTTTATTTATATCAGAAGGCATCTCTCTACCACAAACAATCTAGTATATGTAAATTTTAATCTTTTTTTTTTTAAATATTGTCAGGGCACAAAACTCTAACACAATGAAGAATCACACCCCTGTACTCTCAGCCCTTAGTTTGGCTGAGTGATAAATTAAACCTTTGATAAGTAAAGGTTAAAATGTGTAGTGACCTGAACAATACACATGATCTGGCAACATTCTTAGCTAAAAAATTCTAAAATTACCATATTAAAATCCAGAAAGAATATGGTAACCAAAATCCAGTATGTGTACATATCTGAACAAATCCATCAATCCAATGCTATTCTTTTAACCCCTTTTGCATGGGCTCCCATCTCAGCGGAGTAAAATTGTTTGGCATTAACTAATTAAAATATTAAAAGTGACGTCCTTGTATTAAAGGGGTTAGGTGGCCAAAAAATGAAATACAGTGAAACCTCCATATAAGGGATTATTTCTCTCTGCATATAATCCGTTAAATAGAGGTCTAGCTGTGCGGTATTATATATATATAAAACATTATATCCCTAGTATTTTCAGTCTCTCAGTTGTATTACAAAGTGCGAACAATGTGTGCCAAATATAAACATGAAATACAACAAGACTATTGGCTGGTGACCTGGTGGTAGGTTTGGGTAGCGTGACATAGAGGGCGTTGTCAATCTGCTGAGTTGTTAAGTCCCACACTTTTGTTAGTAGAGCCTGTATACTATCACGGGCCACACCACGCAGGTACGCATCACACTCATTTTCGTCTCTGTAGGAAACAAGTAAAAAATAAGAAAAATAGGTAAATAAATCAATTCTGGTGTAAAATAAATAAAAAATATCCTGGCATTAAATAAAAATATCCTGGCCATTAAATAAAAATATCCTGGCATCAAATAAAAATATCCTGGTATAATATTAAAATAACTGGTACAGTATAAAATAAATAAAAATGTCCTGTAAGCTATAAAATTAATTACAACTGCTTCCTGACAGAAAAATTGCTGAAAATGACCTCCCAATAAAACAATTTTCAGATCTCACTAACTACAACTTATTTCACCTCATGATTCAATTGAAACTAAATGATTGACCAGGTATATCAAAACAGATGGAGGATTTAAACTGTTTGTAAAAATTTTCGTCGTTCACACTAATGCAGTGTGTTACCTCAGACATGGGGATCAACTCACCTCAATAAGTTTTCATTTACTGTGTTCTTATCTGTCACCAATAAGTTGCCCAAGTCACATTCAAGTTGTATTTCCTTATGAACCTCGATAGACTTGAGTTCTTCGTTGGCTTTGGTGATAATTTCCTGAACCTCCGTGGCTGTATCGTCCCCCATGATGGCTTTTAGGTCTTCTAGTAAACAACAGTACAACACGTGAACCAGCCTATGTTGACATACTACCACGATCACCTTCCTAAACATCATTAATTAAACAAACAATGATAATAAATTTAACTAATAAAAACTTTGATAATTGTTATATAAAATACTAATTATTTTATATTAGTTTTGATTTTGTTATATTAAGTTAGAGTCATCAAGTAAAAAAATATATAATAATTACAGTTAATGTTCGCGGTAAATATGTTGATGTTGGCCATCTTGCTGGTCTAGCAGTTCGTGAGATGAATCTGGATTGTAGATTTATGCTTCATGACGTCACGAAAACGAATGGTTAACTGGATAATTTATTACAATTAATATATCTTAAGGTCGAGTTTATTATATATTAGGAACATTATTTTACTATTTCTATCTCTCAGCCGACAAATTTTATTAACTTCAACATTAAATCAATTGTGAGTTGATTCAAAATTAAGAATATTAAAATTTCGATCAAATTTTAACTATATTTACTTGTAGACCCAGTATATATGTGTCTATAAGTATCTATAAGTATCTGTAAGTATGTTTTAGTATCTGGAAGTTAGCATGACTATTCCTTACTGTTCCTTAACCAAAGGAAAAACTTCTCGCAGAAAATGGAAATAAATATTTAAGCGCCTTGCGTATAGTGAACCAAAAAAGATAACGTCTTGTGGGTCCGTTGTAACTGGGAATGAGTAAATACCTCAGCCACTCACGATATGGGTTAGGTTAGGTTAAGTTAGGTTAGGTTAGGTTAGGTTAAGTTAGGTTAGGTTAGGTTAGGTTAAGTTAGGTTTTCGAAAGATTTCATCGGAAAGGAAGCGATATCCTTGTTGTTATTGTTGTTGTTGACTAATCCGGGTCCCTTCTCTGCTGAATAAAATCGTAGTGAAGGGGTTAACACACACACCCAGTGACACCTGTCCACCATAACATACCACACCTGAACAAATATCAATTAGCAATAAATAATAGGTGAGGGCCGTATGAACAGTGCCCATTTAAAACATTCTTGTGAGTGCGTGTTTGCGTGTGCGTGTGTATGATAAAAGGCATCACGCTACGACAGGTATGTGCATGATCATCAATAATATTGAAGGAATCATACCTGCTGTCTAATCATACCTGTTGTCTAATCATACCTGCTGTCTAATCATACCTGCTGTCTAATCATACCTGCTGTCTAATCATACCTGCTGTCTAATCATACCTGCTGTCTAATCATACCTACTGTCTAATCATACCTACTGTCTAATCATGCCTGCTGTCTAATCATACCTACTGTCTAATCATACCTGCTGTCTAATCATACCTGCTGTCTAATCATACCTGCTGTCTAATCATACCTGCTGTCTAATCATACCTGCTATCTAATCATACCTGCTGCTTAATCATACCTGCTGTCTAATCATACCTGCTGTCTAATCATACCTGCCGTTTAAGGACGTTAGTTGTTGAAGCACAGTAATACAGTATAACGTTAACGAAGAACATACAGTAAGCCATCACACGTCCACAAGTGAACACCCTCCTAAAGGTGAATACTGAACAGGTGAACATTGAGGGATATGAACTGGTGGGTCGAGAGTGAACACCCTCCTAAAGGTGAATATTGAACAGGTGAACATCGAGGGATATGAACTGGTGGGTCGAGGTGTTTGTGTACCTGAGTTGTCCATCTTGAGTATTATTAGTGAAGGTCTTGGTGTTATATTCTTATGTCTGTCTGTTTGTCTGTCTTCTCTGTCTGTCTGTCTGTCTGTTTTCTCTATCTGTCTGTCTTTTCTGTCTGTTTTCTCTATCTGTCTGTCTTTTCTGTCTGTTTGTCTGTCTGTCTGTCTCTGCCTGTCTCTCTTTTTGACTCTCTCTTCTCGCGTTTCTCTCTCTCTCTCTCTCTCTCTCTCTCTCTCTCTCTCTCTCTCTCTCTCTCTCTCCTCTTTATTGCCTCATACAAAGCTATATCACCTACCTCGTGCCTACACCAACAAGTGCTTTACCCTGTACAGTATAACAAGAATCTAATGTTGGTGTTTAAATTATGTACCAGGTCTAATGCAACATGTAAAAAACTCCCTCACGTGGGCAAGACATTATTAAATCAGTTAGGTTAGTTTAGGGTTAGATTAGGTTACAGTTGGGTTTTACAGTTGGGGTTTTGGCTAGGTTAGTGGTCACAAACTGAGTAAACAAACAGTTGCCAGCAAAATAATCTTGCCACAGTAAACACTAACATGCACAAATGTGAACCTACCAGGTTCATAAACTCTGGGTAGGGCGGATCCAGGAAGAGGGGGGTGGCTCCAAGAAGGTGTGGGTGAGATAACATGGTATACAACGAGCCTCCACCCAATTATTATCAATATTTTTTGGGAGGGGGCGCTGTACCCTCGCCCAAGCAACAGAATTCTTTTTTAAACTCACCAATATCATGGGCATTTTGAGGCCATTTTGAAGCCGGATATATTCTGAGGTCAATAGTAATTACTTTTTACTATACAAAAACGCCTGGGTACAATACTGCATTAAAGAAAAAGTATTGGAATTTCCTGATGAAAAGGGGGTTGTCCGCCCCGCCAGGACCCCCCCCCCCTTGGTTTGTTTGAAGTAACATAGATAGTTAATGACCGTGTTGAGTGTCACGCTTGTTACTTCACGTTGCACGTACCCCACGAATACTTGATTATTACCTGTACTGTACATGCCCATTACATGTACTGTACGTGATCAATACCTGCACGAGTACTTGTTCCTTCAGATAAATTTAACATAATATACATGCCTACTACTTGTACTATACATGATCATTACGTGTACTGCACATGATCACTACCTCTATTAGTACAAGTTCAATGTAATTAAGCCTTTTATTCTCATTTTGTGTTTCTACCTTCGTTTCAGGAGAGAGAAAGAAAGATAGAAAGACACACACACACACTCAAACAAACATGGCGTCTCGTGTTGATCTTCAGAAAAAACTACTTCCCCCCCCCCCCAACGACCTATTGTATATAAGCTATTTACCTACAGCCATCGATCACCTGCCAGTGCCCTAACGCCTACCATTTATCCTCCACTCTCCATTAAGCACGAGTAATGGGCACAGATGTTAGGGTCATTAACTCTCTGACTGATATAAACACTGGCTTGGCTTCGTGGCATTTCGTACCAGTTAATGTGTTTTTAATTTCAGTTATTTTAATGTTCATTTGCTTGTGTTTTCAAATCTTCTGTCGTTTATATATTACCTGTTGAAATATTATGGTTATTGCCTTGATTATTGGTATAAATATTAGCTGGATTTTGTGGGAAATATATGAGTTCTTTGATGTGTTTATGATAACGATTCCTTCTTCAGCCAGTGTTATTCTGATGCTCATTTGTTTTCTCAACCCTGACCTTTTTGGTACTTATAGTTTTTTATTGTGGTCGACGTGTTTACTAAGGAAATATAATTATTTAGGTGTTTATATATTTTCCAAGAATCTACAAGAAATAGGGCCTTATGGAGTGGGTTTTTTTTACACGATCTGTACACCTATTGACCATTTGTTTTCTCAAGACCTGACTTTCCCGGTACTTATAGATTTTTATAGTAGCCGTACTGTTTACAAAGGAGCTACCGTGTATAAGGTGAAGAACTACTACACCTGAATGTGTCATATGATTTCAGGGAATTTATGTTTTTTTCGACGATATAAACAATCCTCTCTCTCTCTCTCTCTCTCTCACCGGCCGAAATAGCCTAAAGGCGAAACGGCCAGTAATCCCCAAAACAAGTTCTCTCTCTCTGTCTGTAGAAGGTGAACAACAATAACAACAACAATAGTGGCATAGCTGAGACCAATCACAGACACATACACAATATTACTACTACTTTGCTGTCACCCGGAATCGAGTATGACGATCATCCAGCTATGATACAATGATACTAGTTATTAGGGATATCACCTTCATTGGTGAGTGTTGAGATGAATAAAGAGGCTGATACGGAACCAGCAGAGTTGTTCACAGATGTTGCACATGTGATGGGCTGCTACCAGTGCGGGAGGGGCGGTGGCAGCGTCTTTCCGGCGTTGGCACTTGTCTGTCTCGGTTTGCAGTCGGGCTAACTCGAAAGTATTGACACCTTCTCGTGTGGTGCTCCTCCAAGCGCTACGGTGTGGAGTAATCGTTTCCCAGGTGAGGGGGTCATTTGGCACTTCTTCAGGTTTGTCTTAAGACTATCCTTATACCTTTTGAGTTGCCCGCCACCGTTACGTTTACTATTCATTAGGTGCGAGGAACATGGCCAGTCCATTACACGCACACAAATACACACACCTTACACATAATGCACAAAGTAATCGTAAATACACAAATTCAATACAACACCACAGCTGCATACCATTAAATATAAATGTGAAAAAAATCTCGCTTCTCATTGGCTTAGGACTGTTATGTTTATATAATGGACCAATATTCCAGGAAGACACTAGAGAGCCGCCCAGCTGAGTGTCTAGTGTGTTACCTTTAGTTTGCTTTGTCTTTAGTGCTGACAAGTGTGATAAGTAAAGTTAGAAAGTTTGTATGTGTGTTGGTCCGTATGTGTCATTAGTTTATTTATAATTAATTAATTTTAATCGCCTGAAGATTAGACATTCAAATTTCTTATATACCTGATTAACCTAATTTAACCTAACCTAATCTAACACTAATCTATCCTAACCTAATCTAACCTTACCTCACACAAACCTAACCTAATCTAGCCTAACCTAACACAGTCTAACTTAGCAAATTTGAGGAGGAGGGGAGAGAGAAGCAAAGAGAGGAGGAGGAAGGGAGAAGAGGTCAGAAAGAAGAGGATGGGGAAGAGGAGGAGGAGATGAAGGGGGTGAGGGGAAAGGGTGAAGGGTGGTGAGAGGGAGGGGTGAGGGGGAAGGACAGGTAAGTGGTAGTCACGGAGGTAAAGGTGAATCATTAGCTGTGTGGCTTCGACAGGTGCCACACCTCTACCACACCTCTACCACACCAAACCACACCTCTATCACACCTCCCTACCACAATACTACCACAACTCCCTCCCTCCCTTACAACTCTACCGTACTACTACCTCACCACACCTCCCTACCTACCACACCATACCACACCTCCCTACCACACCATACCACACCTCCCTCCCTACCACACCATAGCACACCTCCCTCCCAACCACACTATTACCACACACGACTCTCCTTCGCACCACTCTACCATACAACCAGTTACCATCATCATTACTACACTACTACTACTACCACCACTATACCACAACTACCATACCACAATAACCACCATCCTAATTCACACACACACACACACACACACACACCCTTTAATTATGGAAGGACACATGTGTAGTAGGAGAGGTTCTTGACGTCTTAAACAGGTGTGGAGAGGCAGGTGTGGGATTGGAAAAGTCGGGGGGACCTCTCCTAGCAGGTGTGGACTGATTAACAGGTGTGGAGAGCAGGTGTGTGGCGTGAAAACTATACCCTTGTAACTCTAACAGGTGCGTGGAGGAGGTGTTGTGACCCAGCAGGTGTGTAGAGAAAGACTTCCCAGTGACTCATCAACAGGTGTGTAGAAACAGGTGTATGATCAGAACAGGTGTGTGTCTGAAGAGGAGACAGCAGTAATTCAACCTCAGCAGGTGTGGAAGATGACAACAGGTGTGTTGTTGCAGGTGTTGATGCTGATGCAGGTGTTACTAGACACGTGTTTGGCTGACGGTAAGTAAATGTTCCTTTGTGACTACTTGTGTGAACTAATGTCACCATGAGTACGACCTTAACCCCTTGAGTACGACCCTAATACCCTGAGTACGATCCTAATCCCTTGAGTACGATCCTAACCCCTTCAGTATGACCTTAACCCCTTGAGTACAGCATCAAACCCCTCGAATACGACCTCTAACCTCTGAAGTACGACCCTAACCCCTTCAATACGACCCTAACCCCTTCAATACGACCCTAACCCCTTCAATACGACCCCAATCCCTCAAGTACGACCCTAATCCCTTCAATACGACCCTAACTTCTTAAGTACCACCCTAACCCCTCGAATACGACCCTAACCCCTTAAGGACGACTCTAACTCCTCAAGTACGACCTATAACTGGAGAAAGAGACCTCTGGGAGTTAAACAGAGAGACTGTTCATAGTTGTACCTGATATTAAGAGATTTTTAATTGTTTGTTTACTTGGGGTCAAAGGTGCTATTGATTAGATTATTGAAAGATTATCTCTCTCTATCTCTCTGTTATTCTGTTTGTCTCTGTCTCTCTGTCTTCTCTCTGTGTTATTCTGTCTCTATTTCTCTCTCTCTCTGTTATTCTGCCTCTCTATCTCTCTCTTTCTTTCTCACTCTATCTCCCTGTTAATCTCTCTCTCACTCCTCCTTCCTCTCTCTCTCTCTCTCTCTCTCTCTCTCTCTCTCTCTGGTACACACACATTACCTGGCCACCAAGAAAATCAATATCCAAAGATGTAAACAACAGGTAATCTAGACACACCTGTACTTAGTGTATTAATTGGGTTATGTGACCCTTAATTAATCATTGTATATCAATTTAACTCACCTGTTGTTGACCAGTATGTGTGTGTGTGTGTGTGTGTGTGTGTGTGTGTGTGTGTGTGTGTGTGTGTGCGTGTGTGTGTGTGTGTGTGTGTGTGTGTGTGGTATATAACAAAGAACAACAGAACTACTGAAGAACATTAACAACAACAAAATATAACAATAACAACAACAAAAACAATAACAATGAAGAACAATAACAAGAATAACACCACATCACCTGAACAATACTACTGGACAGATTAACTCATAAGTAATTCATTATAAGTGGCTTACTATAAGTACCTCACTCCAGACAAACCATTGTAAGTGAGTTAAGTGCTTTACATAAGACCATCACAGCAGTCGTATAAGTCAGAAAGTACTAGTACTATTATAAGTGTATAAGTAATTCAGTATAAGTACTTTACATAACAGTACCATCGTATACTTATTGAAATATCCATATAAGTATAGATCAATAAATATTACCTTTATAAGTACCTGGTTAAGTAACACTCCACTAGGCCTTAACACACACACACACACACACACACACACGCACACACACGCACACACACACACACACACACACACACACACACACACACACACACACACACACACACACACACACCTACAAGAACCAACATTCATCAGGACAGGTATTGGCAGGTACAGGTGATTAAATGCCCCTCCGCTGTGGTATAACAAAAGTGCAATACGACATTAACTCCTACCATTAATATCACGTGTTGTTGGTTGAGCAATTAGTGAGATCCTGTTGTTATTTATGTAATTGTAATATGTAATTAGGTAAAAACTTAGCTGGTTAAGTTATGATGTGTATAACCCCTTGACGGACAGACTGATAGACGGGTGGACAGACGGAACATAACTCTTAGTGCTATAATATGTAAAGAAATATAGAAGGAATAGGTACACTCTGGTGGAACTTTGTGATATAGTTTTTGTTATATAACCATTACTGCAGAAACAGAATTGACAAGTCTATTAATATCCAGGTTCTAAATTGATGCTGGATAGACCATTACACACGCACACACGGGAAAAAACATATATATAAACGCCTCTCTCTCTCTCTCTCTCTCTCATCATCCCTACTACCATTCCTCTCTCTTTCATTCCCCTTCTCTCCACCACCCTAATTCCCTCCCCATCTTTAATAACACCTTCCTATATCCCATCCTCACCTAACCTAACCTAACCTAACCTAACCCTACCTCCAGACACAAGAGAGACGAAGGTATTCAGCTTACAAACAGACGTATGGACTGTACCAAGGAGTGACGTGTACCTGCGTTATAACCTGACGGAGGAGGAACACCCTGCCCCTCTCACCACCTTCACTATCTGTTATCGCTTCAACATACAGCAGTTTCGAGACGGTGTTTACTTCTTCTCCTACGCTACAGCTGATGATGTTGATAATGCTGTACTGATTTGTGAGTCTCTGTCTCTCTGTCTGTCTGTTTTAGTTTGTCTGTCTGTCTGTCTGTTTTAGTCTGTTTATCTGTCTCTCTGTCTGTCTGTTTTAGTTTGTCTGTCTGTCTGTCTGTTTTAGTCTGTTTATCTGTCTGTCTGTCTGTCTGTCTGTTTTAGTCTGTCTATCTGTCTATTTGTTTGTCTGTTTTAGTCTGTCTATCTGTCTGTCTGTTTGTCTGTCTGTTTGTCTGTCTGTGTTTTAGTCTGTCTATCTGTCTGTCTGTCTGTCTCTTTTGTGTCTGTTTGTCTGTCTTTCTGTTTGTTTATGTATATAGTGTGTGTATATATATCTCTATGCATGTATACCACGTGTGTGTATCTCCCTGTATATCACCCATGTATGTATCTCCATGTATATATCTTCATATGTATCTCCATGTATGTATCTTCATGTATATCTCCCATGTATGTATCTCCATGTATGTATCTTCATGTATATCTCCCATGTATATCTCCCATGTATATCTTCCATGTATATCTCCATGTATGTATCTCCATGTATGTATCTCCGTGTATATCTCCCATGTATATCTCCATGTATGTATCTCCATGTATGTATCTCCATGTATGTATCTCCATGTATACAGACCAGCGGGAAGAGACGATGAACTTATACTACAACGATGTGGAAGCTTCAGTTAAGATGACACTGACTGTCGACGACACCCTGGGAGCCTGGCACCATCACTGTCACCACGTCGACTTCCCGCAGTATAGGTGAGTGTCTGTCTGTCTGTCTGTTTCTGTCTGTCTGTCTGTCTGTCTGTCTGTCCCTTCATACGTTTCTATAGGACCTTCAATCAACATTCTCACCACCACCATCAACAACAACAACACTACAACTACCACCATTAAACACGTTCCTACCACCACCACTACCACCACCATCTACCACCACCATCTACCACCACCATCTACCACCACCACTACCACCACCACTACCACCACCATCTACCACCACCATCTACCACCACCATCTACCACCACCATCTACCACTCTCATCTGACGAATCATTCTATTATCTATATTAATAAGGTCAACAATGGGTGTTTTCAAGTCGATGTTCATTTGTTTTTGTCAACACTATATATTGTGTCTGTGTGTGTATCGTGTGTATGTGTGTGTGTGTGTGTGTGTGTGTGTGTGTATTGTGTCTGTGTGTGTATCGTGTGTATGTGTGTGTGTGTGTGTGTATTCCCTTCTTGTTGTATATGTTAGCAAGAGGTCATATAATGGTTAGGTCAAAGGTCAGGGTCATATGACGGTGTTAAGAGGTATATATCAGGGTTTAAATGGCAGACAGATATAGATAGTGACAGTAAAGTGCTAATACATACATACACACACACACACACACACACACACACACACACACACACACACACACACACACACACACACACACCCCTAGGTTAGGTTAGGTTAAGTTAGATTAATATATATACTAGGCCTGACTGACGGACACTCCTAGCTACACTGTCCTCCACGTACCTATAACCATGCGTCCGTGGCAGACTGTACGTGGACGGTCGCCTCAGTGGTCACGGACAGATGGTGGGAGAGGGTGGACCGCTGCCCATGAACGGTACCGTCTATATCGGCCAGGAACAAGACGCCTTAGCTGGGGGACTCGACGCTATGCAGTCTACTAGCGCCTATATCACCCAGGTCAGTGAGTGGTCAGATGGGCCCTGTGATAGTGGGTCCCTGTGTTAGTGGGCCCCTGTGTTAGTGGGCCCCTGTGTTAGTGGGGCCCTGTGTTAGTGGATCCCTGTGGGTCCCTGTGATAGTGCGTCCCTGTGTTAGTGGGCCCCTGTGTTAGTGGGCCCCTGTGTTGGTGGGTTCTTGTGTTAGTGGGTCCCTGTGTTAGTGGGCCCCTGTGTTAGTGGGCCCCTGTGTTAGTGGGCCCCTGTGTTAGTGGGCCCCTGTGTTAGTGGGGCCCTGTGTTAGTGGATCCCTGTGGGTCCTTGTGATAGTGCGTCCCTGTGTTAGTGGGCCCCTGTGTTAGTGGGCCCCTGTGTTGGTGGGTTCTTGTGTTAGTGGGTCCCTGTGTTAGTGGGTCCCTGTGTTAGTGGGTCCCTGTGTTAGTGGTCCCTGTGTTAGGGGGTCCCTGTGTTAGTGGGCCCCTGTCCTATTAAAATGAATTCAGTAAGGGCTGTAACAGTAGAGTGGGTGTTCCTCTGTAGTGTAGTGTAGTGTAGTGATAATAATAAGTGTCGTGCAGATCAACGTGTGGGACAGCATAGTGAGTGAGGCCAACATCGCCGCCATGGCCTCCTGCAGCGCCAACCTCCTGGGTAATGTTCTCTCGACTGACGTACAAGACTGGGAGGTGGTCAACGCCCAGGTGGAGGTGAGGCCCATTACCGCCCTCTGCCAGCAGGAGGTGGAGTTCGTCATCGTGCCGGAGAAGTGGCACCTTCAACCCTCCGTCGAGTTCTGCAGGATCGCTAACTCCGAGTTGTTTATCCCTGAGGGCGACGAGGTCAATGAGCGTCTGTTTAACGAGACCAGACAGTTCCTGGAGCAGTGTAGTGGCAAGAGTTACCGATTGCTCCGTGTAGGAGCCACAGACGCCGCGTCAGACGGGTCGTGGCTCAAGTTTATCACCAACACACCGCTGACGTACACCGCCTGGGCTCCCGGTGAGCCCAACGACGGCCACAAGTCCAACTGTGTGGTGATGAAGAAGTCCCTCAGTAAGTGGGGAGACGTGGCCTGTAAGGATGAGTATTGCTTCTCTTGTCTCAAGAACAAGAGTAAATACCTGCAGGTGCGGGGGCTGTGTCAACACAAGGAGCACCATACCAGGTTCTTGCTGGACGGCTACGTCAACTCTAACCTCTTCTTCAGGGGCTACTACGGCCACGCCATCTTCATGTCTGAGTCTAACAGATGGCTGCTGAGAGACGTGTTGGCCAACGTGACCCTGGCCATGATGGCCAAGAGGCGGACACTGACGACTGACTACCCTCTGGGGCGCCACGATTGGGAGGTGTTGAGCCCCTTCTGCCAGTACCTGGAGGAGGAGAGGGTGCAGCTGAGCTTGTCCTCCTGCTCCACACAACACTTCATGTGTTCTGACGGCTCCTGTGTCGCCAGGCACGTCCGCTGTAACCTCCTGAATGACTGTGTTGACGGCAGCGACGAGGAGAACTGTGGCCTGCTGGAGTTCAGCCAGGGTTATCATGGCCACCGTCCTCCTCCAGGCGTGACCTTCCAGGACCCCCTGACCATCACCCCCGTCGTCAACATCATCAGGTTCTCCAACGTGGACGACATTAACCTCGCCCTCTACGTGGAGCTGGAGATCATCTTGTACTGGACCGACAGAAACCTCAAGTACAAGAACCTTAAACCTGACGCCGAGAACAAGCCGTCCAAGGACGAGGTCAAGAAGGTGTGGATCCCCGAGGCCGAGTTCATGAACGTGAAGGACGGCCGCCTCCAGGAGCTGAAGAAGACGGTGTTTGTCCTGAGGATCGGCAACCCCAACCCACCACACTTTAACGACGTCAAGATGGGTGAGTTACCTGGGTCTTGACGGGTGGATTAAAGGGTGGATTAAGGGGTGGATTAAAGGGTGGATTAAGGGGTGAATTAAGGAGCGGATTAAAGGGGAATAAAAAGATGAATCAAACACCTTTAGACTTCTGTAAACTGTGGTTCTGGCCCATTAAATATAAAACAAATTAACTTAACCAAACCCATCTAACCTAACCTAACCCAACAGATACAGTGTACCCAGCCAGCAGCGGCAGGTTGGTACAGAGGACGTTGTACTCGGCCAGCTTCTCCTGTAACTTCCAGCTGTTCAGGTACCCCTTTGACACCCAGACCTGTAGTGTGTACCTCAAGCTGACCTCTGCTACCTCCCAGGTGGTCACGTTCAAGGTCAGTCTCTCTCTCTCTCTCTCTCTGTTTGTCTGTATCTCTGTCTGTCTGTCTTCTCTCTCTCTCTCTCTGTCTGTCTGTCTGTCTTTGTCTCTCTCTCTCTCTTTCTCTGTTTGTCTGTATCTCTGTCTGTATGTCTGACATTTGTGAGACGTGACGTGTGTGTGTGTGTGTGTGTGTGTGTGTGTGTGTGTGTGTGTGTGTGTGTGTGTGAGTGACAAATAAGTGAGTAACGTATGTGAGAGTGACGATTGAGTGACGAATGAGTGAGTAACGAGTGTGAGAGTGACGACTGAGTGACGAATGATTAACGAATAAGTGACGAATGAGTGACGAATGATTTAACGACTGAGTGACGAATGAGTAACGAGTGACATGTATTACAGAATGCCACAGTGGAGTACAATGGACTGAGGAACTTACCTAAGTATACCGTCGGCTCACTTACTGCTCGTCTAGACCACTCTGATGCTAACGATGTACTGGAGGTAAGACCCACTCACTTACCCCACTCAGTACACCACTCTTGCCCTTCTCACTACCCCCCCTCACGTCATTGTCGCTATCCCACTCATTGATCACTTATTGCCCACTGGTTAGGTTAGGTTAGGTTAGTTTTAAGTTAGTTAGTTAGTTTAAGTTAGGTTAGGTTAGGTTAGTTTAAGTTAAGTTAGGTTAGGTTAGTTTTAAGTTAGTTTAAGTTAAGTTAGGTTAGGTTAGTTTTAAGTTAGTTTAAGTTAAGTTAGGTTAGGTTAGTTTAAGTTAAGTTAGGTTATAATTAATCTCATATACCCAGGTTAAGTTTGAGCTGACCCGCCGCTACTCCCTGTTGATGCTGACCATCTTCCTGCCCACCGCACTCCTCCTTGGTATCGGCTACTCCACACTCTTCGTTAAACTCCATCTCCTGCAGGTACTGTACTCCGTCAGCCTCCACCTTCAGGCAGGTAATGAGGTCTTAGAGAGGTGTTATGAGCGGCGTCGTTAGGGTTGTTTGGGTCAGGGTAGTTAGGTAAGGGTGAATTGAGTTAGGTTGATTTGTGTTGTTGTTATGATTTGTTTATTTCTCTCACCTATGTCATTCTTACCTCACCCTCACGTTGTTCCTTACTCTCCCTTACCCTCTTTCTCCCTCATCTATCTCCTCCCTTATCCTCCTCTTCCTCCCTCACCTAGCTCCTCACCCTCCCAACTCTCTCCTCACCACCACTCCCTCACCCTCTTCCTCCCTCCCTCACCACCTACCACACCCTCTACCACACCTCCCTCACCACCTACCATACCTCCTCACCACCTACCACACCCTCTTCCTCCCCCTCCTCACCACCTACCACACCCTCTACCACACCTCCCCCACCACCTACCATACCTCCTCACCACCTACCACACCCTCTACCACACCTCCCCCACCACCTACCACACCCTCTACCACACCTCCCCACCACCTACCACACTCACCTCAGCGCCACAACACCACAGGTACGAGCCATCATGACGCTGACGACGCTACTGGTGCTATACACACTCTTCAACCAGGTGTCCAGCGCCCTCCCCGACACGGCCTACATCAAGATGATCGACCTGTACTTCTTCTTCTGCATCTCCCTCATCTTCTCCCTCATCGTGTTGCATATAGTGGTGGAGAACCTACCCCCAGGGACACCTCCGGCCACCCCGACACCAGCCACCATCAAGGTAGCTCCCGTCAATCCTCCACAACCTGGTCACTCTCGCCTCCTCACCAACTACAGGTAATGTATTAGTTTACCTGGTTAATTATGGGTCTTATACACCTTGATACACCTTGATGTAATAATAATAACAATAATAAAAACGATAATGATCCCTGAAATAATCTAATTAAATGACTTAAAATAGCATACCTTACCTAACCCTCCCCTCCCCTCCCCCTACCTACCCCTCTCCCCCAGCCTCCCCTTCCCCTACCCTACCCTAACCTAACAATGTCCCCGTGCATTTCAGGCTCCGTGTCCCTACAGCCCATGGTCTAATGCACAGTGTGAGGAGGTATTGCTTTCCTGTGGTGCTCGTCGTGTTTAATCTCGTGTTCTGGCTAATGTTGTTTACCTGAGAGAGAGAGAGAGAGAGAGAGAGAGAGAGAGAGAGAGATAATAATTGACATGAAAAGAGCTTAATAGAGAGAAAAAGAGAGAGAAAGAAAAAGAGAGAGGGAGTGGATAAAGAGTAAAGAGAGAGAGAGAGAGAGTACCGTATTTTCAGTAGTATTAGCCACAGGTGTACAATGTAACAATAAAGTACTAAGACAACTATGGGTAATATAAAACAGTACAATTATCACCCCTAAATGCTATATAATGTACTACAGTGCCCGCTAGTGATATAATAATTACCTTCATGTGTAATGTAAGATATAAATAGTGATTATAGTGATCCAGGTGCTTTAATTACTGGATGACTTACACACTAATACATACATACATACATACATACACGCCCATAACATACTGTACATACATACATACATATAACATACATACATACTGTACATACATACATACATACACGCACATAACATACATACATACATATACACACGCACATAACATACATACATACATACATACACGCACATAACATACATACATACATATACACACGCACATAACATACATACATACACGCACATAACATACATACATACACAGAAAATGGAAGTTTACCCATTCTCTCTCATCAGTTTGTTAACGGGGGAAACTTATTTATTTTACTTAACATTATTCAACAAATTACTATGAAAAGGATAATTATTTCATTGTATTTATCTATTGTGAAAGTAATTGACATATACTAAAGCCTAACCTAACCTAATGTAACCTAACTTAACCTAATCTAACATGACAGAATATTGAAGTTATCATTGGTTAGGTTAGGTTGTGTTAATTTAGGTTAGGCTAGGTTGTGTTAATTTAGGTTAGGTTAGGTTAAGTTATGCCTTAAATGGTATAAAAGTCACTTGTATATAAATTAATAAAATATTCAATAAATTACCTACTGTATTAATAGATCTTTAACTATTGTATTTCTGATCTATTGTATCGTATTAATACAAATTTCCTAGTGTAAAAAAAAAAGGCTACTACTACCACCACTACCTCTACCACCACCCCTATTACCATCACTACCGCTACCACCACTACCGCTACCACCACTACTAGTACCACCACCCCTACTACCACCACTACCGCTACCACCACTACCGCTACCACCACTACTAGTACCACCACCCCTACTACCATCACTACCACCACCCCTACTACCACCACTACTAACCCACGACTAATAATGAGGGAGAGGAAAAAACAAGGTGAGGGAGTGGAGGGAGGGAGAGACGATGGTGTATTGAGCAGGTGGGACGGAGGGAGGGAGGGGGAGAGATGTTACCATGGCAACACAAGAGGTAAACAGGTCTCCCACACCCCCAATATTTTTCCTCCTAACTGGTGATAAGAGAACTGGGGTCTATTAGAACTGGGGCCTATTAGAACTGGGGCCTATTAGAACTGGGGCCTATTAGAACTGGGGTCTATTAGAACTGGGGCCTATTAGAACTGGGGCCTATTAGAACTGGGGTCTATTAGAACCAGCCTATTAGAACTGGGGTCTTTTAGAACTGGGGTCTATTAGAACTGGGACCTATTAGAACTGGGACCTATTAGAACTGGGGTCTATTAGAAGTGGGGCCTATTAGAACTGGGACCTATTAGAACTGGGGTCTATTAGAACTCTGGGGCCTATTAGAACTGGGGTCTTTTAGAACGGGGTCTATTAGAACTGGGACCTATTAGGAACTGGGACCTATTAGAACTGGGGTCTATAGAAGGGGGGTCTATTAGAACTGGGTCTTAGAACTGGGTCTATTAGAACTGGGGTCTATTAGAACTGGGACCTATTAGAACTGGAGTCTATTAGAACTGGGACCTATTAGAACTGGGGTCTATTAGAAGTGGGGCCTATTAGAACTGGGGTCTTTAGAACTGGGGTCTATTAGAACTGGGGTCTATTTGAACTGGGACCTATTAGAACTGGTCTATTAGAACTGGGACCTATTAGAACTGGGGTCTATTAGAACTGGAGCCTATTAGAACTGGGGTCTATTAGAACTGGGACCTATTAGAACTGGCCTATTAGAACTGGGACCTATTAGAACTGGGTCCATGAACTGGGACCCATTAGAACTGGGGTCTATTAGAACTGGGACCTATTAGAACTGGGGTCTATTAGAACTGGGGCCTATTAGAACTGGGACCTATTAGAACTGGGGTCTATTAGAACTGGGACCCATTAGGAACTGGGGTCTATTAGAAGTGGGGCCTATTAGAACTGGGGTCTATTAGAAGGGACCTATTAGAACTGGGACCTATTAGAACTGGGGTCTATTAGAACTGGGACCTATTAGAACTGGGGCCTATTAGAAATTGGGCCTATTAGATAGACCCTATTAGAGAGAGAGAGAGAGAGGTTGTTATGGTAACAGAATTATTCACGGGGACGCTTAGTTACCGTCTAAGGTGAGGTATGTCCACCCACCTGTCTTTACCTGTCTTAAGTAGGTCATTAGGTTAGGTTGTCTTTCTGTCTGTATGTCCGTCTCTCTCTCTCTCTCTATTTATCTATCTATTCAACCCTGATGCTATCCTATCCTAACCTAGCTTAAGCTAACCCAACCTGACCTAACCTACCCTAACCTAACCTAACCTAACCTACAGTACATTCATCGCCATTTTATAATAAATGTTAAATAAATCATTGGAATAATTCGAACTAATTACATAAAAGATTAATCTTGTTTGGAATTAATTATTATAACACAGCTGCTGATGCTATACGAAGCACTGTCATTGGCTGGCTTGGTGAGCGTCATCGTTGACGTCACCGATGACGCAATATGGTTTGAGCTCCTTTGATTGGCTGACAGTATTGACTTAAATTTATGTAGATCGTCTGCAATTTTTCTTAACTCTCCCATATTCTCTCACCTCTCACTCTCTCCCTACCCTCCCTCACCTCTCACTCTATCTCCCTCACCTCTCACTTCCCTCCCTCACCTCTCACTCTCTCTCCCTCACCTCTCACTCTCTCTCCCTCACCTCACCTCTCCCCTACCTCTCACTCTCTCTCCTCACCTCCTCACTCTCTCCTCCCCACCTCTCACCTCCTCCACCTCACACTCTCTCTCCCTCACCTCCTCACTCTCTCCTCACCTCCCACTCCTCCTTCCCACCTCCTCACTCTCCCTCACCTCCCACCTCTCTCCTCACCTCTCACTCTCTCCTCACCTCCTCACCTCCTCCTACCTCCTCACTCCCTCACCTCCTCCACTCTCCCTCCCCACCTCCCACCCTCCCTCACCTCCTCACTCTCTCCCTCACCTCTCACTCTCTCTCCCTCACCTCTCACTTCCCTCCCTCACCTCTCCCTCCGTCACCTCTCACACGTCTTGCCAAAAATTCTCACACTAAAGTTTCATAATCTCGGCTACCCCCTCGGCCACCCCAGCCCCCTCGGCCCCCCAGCCCCTCGGACACCCCAGCCCCCTCACCCCCAGCCCCCTCGGCCACCCCAGCCCCCTGCCACCCCAGCCCCCCTGGCCACCCAGCCCTCGGCCACCCCAGCCTCACACCCCAGCCCCTCGGCCACCTCGGCCACCTCCTCCTCGGCCACTTCCCCACTCTCGTCCACCCCTTGGTCACCTCGGTCACTTCACCCCCCTCACTCCCTCGGTCATCCTCGGCAGACAATGAAGGAATAAATGCAAAGTTATTCTATCTAAACTTTATTACTTTCATGAATGACAAGAGTGACATGAAGAGAGAGAGAGAGAGAGAGAGAGAGAGAGAGAGAGAGAGAGAGAGAGAGAGAGAGAGAGAGAGAGAGAGAGAGAGAGAGAAAAAATAACAGACAAAATAGACAAAACAGACAGACAGATAGACAGTCAAACGAGACAGAGCTATTGTTGTTGTTGTTGACGGATCATTAAATAGTCTCTTAAGGTGATTTCTCCTGGGTCGCCATCGTCAACCCGGCCACCTCGTCGTCAGGAGGTGCCCGGGCTGACACTTAGAGACACCTGACACTCTCTCTCTCACTGTTTCTCTTCCTCTCTCTCTCTCACACACACACACACACACACACACCCCCCTCTCTCCTCACTCAGTAATAAGGGACACTGTCGTCACTGGCCGCCTGTCACTGACGTAGACAGGAAATTACAGCCACAGGTAATGACTTTCCACTAAACTGACACATAATTAACATAACCATTGTTGTAGCTCACCCCTCTCTCTCTCTCTCTCTCTCTCTCTCTCTCTCTCTCTCTCTCTCTCTCTCTCTCTTAGTAGTGGTGGTAGTGGTGCTGGTGGTGTAAGGTTAGAAGAGGTTAGGTTAGGTTAGGTATAGGGAAACGAACACATCCTTCCCAACATCTTTTCCCACACCTCCCCCCAAAACCCCCCTCCCTCCTCCAATACCCTCCCCCACCCCTCTCTCCCCCACCCAGCATCACTAAGCTTTAAGGATAAAGCGTGAGTGTAGGACGAACATGGCTCTGATGGCTACACTCTGCCACCCACCACCCAACATCACCGCCACCCACCACTCTCTGCCACCCACCACCCACCACCGCCACCCACCTGCCATCTGCCACCCACCACCACTGCCACAAACCATTTACCTTGACACTCTTGGTGTGTGTGTGTGTGTGTGTGTGTGTGTGTGTGTGTGTGTGAGGAGGAGTGAGTGAGTGAGTGAGTGGAGGAGTGAGTGAGTGAGTGAGTGAGTAATCCCAGAGAGGCAACAAGAAACAATGTATGAAATTAGAAAGAAAGAAAGAAAAAGAAAGAAAACAGCTAAAAAAAACATGAAAGCATAAGAAAGTGAAAGTAACTAAGGTGGGGGAAAATATTGGAATTATAACAACTTTCCCCCAAAATACTTCAACTCAACTTTCCCCGAGAGAGTGAAAGTATTATTACCAAGTATGTGAGGTGTAGGAAAGGTGAGAGAGAGAGAGAGAGAGAGAGAGAGAGAGAGAGAGAGAAGAGAGAGAGAGAGAGAACGATCATGATGTAATAAATATGACCTCAATAAACACACACACACACTATGGATAGGTCTCGGTCTCGTATAGTAATTCTCGATCTCGGAGTTATAGGTCTCGACTGTATGAATGGTATAGTGTGTATATATATAATTGGGTGGTATTGTGGTGTTGGGTCTGTCTGTCTGTCTGTGTGTCTGTCTGTCTGTCTGTCTGTCTGTCTGTCTCTCTCAATACAGGTGTTACCATGGCAACCCGTGACCGCCCCGCCAGATGAGGACATCACAATTCTGTATCTGTACTCTCACTCTCTCTCTCTCTCTCTCTCTCACTCTCTCTTTCACTCTCTCACTCCCTCTTTCTTTTTCGCTCTCTATCTATCTATCTATTTATCTCTTTCACTCTGTCACTATCTTTATGTATCTACGTATCTATATTTCTGCCTCTCTCTCTCTCTCTCTCTCTCTCACACCACTTCAATCACCCAGACGGTAATAAACAAAAACATCTACTTTTACAAAATGGCGTATTATGTGTGCTGAGACCAGAGTAACCACACAAGAGTCTCCTCGTTTCAGGTAACATTTAAAACTTGGGTCTGAATATTGATGTGTCAGTCACTAGAGAGAGAGAGAGAAGAAGAGAGAGAGACCACCTTTTACCATTCTGTTTCCCTCAATCTGAATATATCAATCATAAATTGCAATTACTAGAAATTGAAGGAGTTTAAAAATAGCCTCTCTCTCTCTCTCTCTCTCTCTCTCTCTCTCTCTCTCTCTCTCTCTCTCTCTCTCTCTGGAACCCTGGTGAGTGTCTCTTTCAGTCCACAGTCAGTCAATCAGTCACTAAGTCAGTTAGATAGTCAGTCAGTCAGTCAGTAACAGGAAGTGACCTGATAGGTTGCTGCCAGCGAGGAGGTCATTACGCCTGTAGGAGGAGGGAGGAGGAGGGAGGAGGAGGAGGAGGAGATGTGAGGAGGAGGAGGAGGAGAGGTACGATGACTTAACCTCTTGAATCTTAACCAGTCAGCCAGTCAGACAGTCAGCCAATCAGCCAATCAGACAGTCAAACAGTCAAAGAGTCAAACAGTCACCAGGTCAACCAATCAGACAGTCAGCGAGCCAGCCATTCAGAGAGTCAGTCGATCAACCAGTTAGCCGGTTAGACAGTCATACAGTCAGGTGTTCAGATAATCATTCACACAGTCAGCCAAGCCGGCAGACCGTGGCGCGCGTGGTGTAGTGGCGGTTGTGGTAGGCGGACCTAGAGAGAGTGAGAGAGTGAGAGAGTGAGAGAGGGAGAGATAGATATGGATAGATAGATGAA